CGTTTTATCTTTTATATTCAACTCATTTGTGTTCTGCACATGATATTTTCCATTAGAAAGCTTATACTCAGTAACGTGTGTTTACATTCCGCTCCTGTGCACTACATGCTACTTCGGCTGAGGGGCAAGCCTCGTTTTAGTTACATGTGTTTACATTCGGTATTTCCGCTCATGTGCAATAGCAATTTTGTTGTTCACCATGCTGCATGCTTTGTTCAGCAGAGAAAATCCCACCTCCTCCCTCAACACCACCTCTAGTCCATGTTCAGTCTTGGCGCTTACATTGTCATGTACTGAACAAGCTGTGCAAATTTGGTTGTTTTTGGGGGGGTTCTTTTTAGAAGGTCTCAGTTCCTTGTTTTATACCGTTAAGTCCAGGGGAATTTGTCTTCTACCCCATCATTCATTGTTTGTACAGCTCATATTGTTGGACCAATCATTCTGTACATGCCTGAACTGTCTGTAGGGACAGGGATTCTCATGATGATTAATAGAAGATAGTTAAAATATATCCATAATGTTTCAGGGGATATTTTCCCCCATCATTCATTGTTGTACATATTTATGTTTCTGATGCTCAGAAGCGTGGGTCATATACTCAACTGCACCCCATGCTGGGGTTAGTAATGACTGACGCTCAGTCAAGCAGCTTCTCATTCCAGTGATGCTCACTCCTGAACATGCGGCAGTTGGGGTAGTTGCTCCCAATGCTTGGGAGACCGCCTCTGTGGTCTAATGGTAGAGCGTCCGCCCGGAGAACGGAAGGTCTGGGGTTCGATCTCCAGCCGCGTCATACCAAAAGATGTTAAAATGGTACTTGTTGTTACCCTGTCTGGCACTAGGCATTAAGGGGCTAAAACAAGGACTGGTCGGCTCGGAGTCAGTATACTTAGTCTGAGTAGGGTATTCATGTTAAACTGCGGCATGGTATCTCAGTGTGCTAGCACTATAAATCGGCATCAGTCCGGACTAGTACAAAAACGCGCACACACATGCATGCACGTCGCTATATAAGTGCAATAATTTTGGACGCGACGTTAAACCCCATTTCACCTCACCTCACCTCACCTCACCTCACCTCACCTCACCTCACCTCACCCAATGCTTGGTCATGTAATTTGTGTCTGTTTTGGGTTGATGCTCAACCACAGGTTTCATTGTTATAGTCACAGTGGTAGTTAGGGGATTCTCATGTTAATACTAACGCCAAAGAAACTAGTCTTGTATGCATGTGCTATGGTATAATGTTATTCTAATAAATAGTTTGTCAGTTATCCTGTGTTTGGTAAAGTTGAAAAAAAAGATTTTCATAAAGCTTTTTCTTTGCTAGACCAAAATCAAACCAAGGAACAAGTTAGGTAGAATTATGACTTAAAAAGCTGTCATAGCTGGTGTCCATATGTTTCTCACATTTTCTACTTTTAGGACAAAACATGAGTCATGTAGACCTACCTGTTTTGTTACGTGTAACAAATTCTTGTTTAAAATGCGAAAAGGAATCATTCAAATGAGATTTATTTTAGTCTATTGTTTCACGAAATCCAGTTGAAATGTTGTGACTTTTGTGCCCAACATTTCTAGTGATTTTGTACCTAAACTGGTATGTGATTTTGTAGGTCTACCCAGAATAATTTTGTGTAAGTTTCAAAGATATACATTAATTTTTGTATCTTAAAGTTAATTTACTATCACTTTCCTATTAAAACAATACATTTTCACTTAGGTTTAACCAACTTGTCTTGTCACTGAAGAAGAGGCCAGTTGTCACTTTTCTGTCAAAACCAAACAATCAATTTCAAGGATCAGTCATCATCATATTGAACTTGAGGAAATGTTTTATTATGTGTTCTGCTCATTTACTATTGTTCGCAATATACATGAAAACATAAATATAATCATAGATCTATTGTCTTATTTTCTTTGGTACAAATTCACAAAGTATTTTGGGAAGAATTTAATTTGTTTTGGGTACAAAATCACATAGAGCCTATATACACACCTTCCATCCAGTCGCCGTGGACCAAAATTTTAATCAGTTCAGAGAACGGGGGTTTCTCAGAAAAAAGTTTTCAGTGACATCTTTAATATTCTAAATTGTTCTTTTCGCAGTGATAGACCAATTACAATATTATGATGTTATTATTATGTCATATCAATGTGTTATATCACTCCCCGCCGTGTAAACAGTTGGACGATGGATATTAGATTATGTAATTTCCGATAATCTTTTTCAGGATTAATCGACGGTAGTTTGATAAACTTTTGCATATTTTCCTTCGATGTGAGATGCGGTACGTGCTTTTGGTTTTAACAACGATAGATAGAATTGCAAGTATGTTTTTCGTAATCTGCATTATTTTGCTACTGAATAGTTTACCTAGAATGTATATAAGCTCAGATTTTTTTATTATTCGCATCATTTGTTGACTTTGTTCAACTAAACACATGGTGTCTTGGGCCACACCCAAACGTGTTCCTTACTTTGGGTCGGCTCATCAACAGCAGGCCAATGTCAGATTGGTTGGTTTGTTGTTTAACGCTGCACTCATCAATATTCCAGCTATATGAAGGCGGTCTGTAAATAATCGAGTCTGGACCAGACAATCCAGTGATTAATATCATGAGCATCGATCCACACAATTGGGATCGATGACATGCATCAACCAAGTCAGCGAGCCTGACCACCTGATCCCGTTAGTCGCCTTTTACGACAAGCAAAGTCGCCTTTACACTGCAAGCATGGGTTGCTGAAGACCTGTTCTACCCCGGAGCCTTCACGGGTCACCAATGTCAGAAAGTTTATCAAACAAAATCATTTGCTAACACAAGAAAAATGGAGTTATTATTGTTCAAGGATTTATACATCCATGTAAATAATTATTGAAAATTAAGTTAGATGTAACTGAATGATTGTAATAGTTTCTTTCATCTAGTGTATCGTCTGGGACTAAATTCATAGTCCAGCACATCCCCGGGTGTCGGAACATCCTGACCAACACCCTATCCTGGCTAGACAGGGTAGCTCCCATGGAGTGGAAACTTCAGTCAGTGGCGTTCCAACTGGTGCTTGGGCAACCAAACATTGACCTGTTTGCGACCCGGGACCACTAGCTTATGACGTACGTCTCCTGCTCAGGATCCTAAGGCTTGGGCAAGTCCATGTATTCAGCGTCCTCTGGGAAGGGCTAAAAGCCTACGCTTTTTCCGCCTCCTGTATTACTTCCCAGGGTGATACTAAGGATCAAAGCTACAAAAGCCTTGCTCTGACTTTGGTCACACCTTGGTGGCCAACGAGGAGGTGGCTGTTGACCTCAAAAGCCTTGCAGAAGATGATCCACTATCCCCCCCCCCCCCCAGAGTGGTCCAACCTACTCATCCGTCCTCATGGCAATTTACAGTACCCAATGCCAGGCAGTTTTCATCTGCACACTTGGTTTGTCTTTAAAAGATGTTAAGTGCCAAGGGCTATTTGGAGTGGGCAGGCAGAACTTTCTTTTGGCACATCGTCCCTCTACCAGAAGGTTATATGATGATGAGTGGCAATCATTTGTAACCTTTTTCATAAGGTAAAGAATCAAGATCCAACATCACTTCAATTCCTAGCTGAATACCTTCTACACTTTCGTATCAAAGACACTTGAAGCGTAGCACCATTACAATCTAATTGGTAGCATTTAATTCAGTGTTAGCAGTTCTGGGAAATCGCCAAATGACGAAAGCTCCAGAACTAGCGGCACAGGTGAGTGAGTTACAAGTACTTGACATCACCCTTGCCAGGTTTGAGCATTGTACGCAGGGAGCGGTACATCTAGGCTTGTGCTGGGATTTTATAGCAGTTATCCTAACAGAATTACGAGATTGCCAAATGTAATTATCCGAGAGCGAACAACCCTTATGAGATCAGGGCTGTAGCCTCTACCATGGCTCCACATAGTAACTGTTCTATCAGAGCTATCAAGGAAGGATATTTTGGGAGGTCCGACACAGTTTTCACACGTCATCATCTTCGCTATGTGGCTCTCGAAGACGTTTAAGGTATGCACATTTTTGGCCCTCTGGTAGTAGCCCAGCAGGTAACCAACCCCCGACGCAAATAACTCCTATCCGGAGTTTCTTTCCCCCGCAGTTTGTCTACATGCACAGTGGAAGGAATTGCTTCAAGCTTTTTTTATCAGCTTTGGCTTGGTAACACAGAGGGTACAGATTTTAGCATTGGCTATCATCCATTATTGCTATCTGTTATTGCCATGTACAGTCTCTGAGGTGTGAGTTATTGAGGTTTTTGTTTTGGACACCTGAAGGTATACCCTACTTCATACCGTCTAATACAGATGCATTAAGGATTAATGCAGGATAAGTAAACAATTTTGTAAAATCTAAATATTTCTTACATTTGTGTACTTATCCTACATTAATACATGTAAGGGCCCACCCATCGCAGACTTGCGTCCCTAATTTGGCTTCAGAAACCTCAATTTTTTTGTTTTTTAAGCTTGGGCGACAGGCAGTAATGTGAGAGGTGATTTGCCATCAAGGTCACATAACAGTGGCGATGGTCCTTGCAAAAAGCAGGATTTGAAAACAAAACAACTTTTTCTTACCCAAGACCATCACTAGGTGCTGTCTTTGTTGTCGTAAGGTAAGCAGTAGATGCATTGAGGAGTAATGCAGGATAAGTATACAAATGTAAAAAGTAAGACTACAGCATAGGCCATTGACCAATTAGATAGTATTCTCATCAATTTGGCCAAATCACTCTTGTTGGAACATTCAGAAGATTTGTTCTTTCGAATTTGTGGGGGATTTGTCATCTTTTGATGACTCTTGTTAATCTGGTTTGAGGTTGTAGTAGGCATGCATTTCACCAAACCGAAGGTAATGGTATCACTTGAAGAATGACACTGAGGGGGCTGATACTGTTTGTCTTAGCACGTGCAAACACTTTTCGTGTACTTGAGTCATATTTAAATGCAATTATGAAACTCTGCCTTATTTTACAGTTTCTTATTGGCTACAATCGTGGACTAATTGTGTTATGGGACAACAAGGAGAGCAATGCTGACAAGACCTACAATGCCACACAGGTATGGATGATGAAGGTGGTACGATGCAGGCAAAGTTATCTCAATTTGCCAAAGAAAACATCTCATTGTACTTTTCACAATTTTATCTTGATATATGATATATTATATATGATACATATGAACTTTTTGTGTGCGATATTACTAGTTTACTAGAATGCTAGATTGCTAATACAATATACCATGGTACACTTTTGTGGAACTGCATTTTCAGGTACAAACAGGGATTTCCAACATCACATTCTTTCCTGTATTGTTTTGTTTATAGTTATATCAAGGACTTCCATCCATCTGTCCTTCCGAGGACATTTTGTTTGTCCGACCGATTATTATCCCCCGCCGCGCGAAAGCGCGAAGCAGGGGATATAGTATTCACGACCGTCCGTCCGTCCGTCCGTACGTCCCACCTGTTTGTTGCCGCGATATCTCAAGAACTAAACACTGGATTGTCTTCATATTTGGAACTATGGTGTATATACAGACTCCGCAGACACCAGTCGGTTTTGGTGACCTTGATCCCATTTTCAAGGTCACAGCAGACAAATCTGCTTATAGAGTTGGAAAACGGTGTTGCCGCGATATCTCAAGAACTAAACACTGGATTGTCTTCATATTTGGAACTATGGTGTATATACAGACTCCGCAGACACCAGTCGGTTTTGGTGACCTTGATCCCATTTTCAAGGTCACAGCAGACAAATCTGCTTATAGAGTTGGAAAACGGTGTTGCCGCGATATCTCAAGAACTAAACCTCTCGATTGTCTTCATATTTGGAACTATGGTGTATATACAGACACCGCAGACACCAGTCAGTTTTGGTGACCTTGACCCCATTTTCAAGGTCACAGCAGGCAAATCTGTTTTTGGAGTTGGAAAACGGTGTTGCCACAATATCTCAAGAACTAATCGCTGGATTGTCTTCATATTTGGTACTATGGTGTATATGGCGGGGGATATTTCGTCACTCTGTGACAAATACTTGTGTAAAAACTACTGCATCGATTATTTTCCAAACCAAGAGGGGAGGTGCAGTGCAAAGTTTAATTTCAATATTTGGATTTTCTATTAAAAAATATACAGCTGTTTGAATTGTTTTTACTTTAACTAGAAAGCTGCTTCATGGATTCTTTTCAGTTTAAGGGAACATTTTCCATACTAATAGAAGAGGTGCAGTTCAAAGTTTGACTTTTCTGAGATTGGATTTTCTGAGAATATATGAATATTTACATATACTCAACAACAAAAGTTCATGTGACACCAATATTTTAGTGTATTTTTCAAACAAGTAAAGTTTGGTTTTCAATATTGTAGTATATGTATGGAATCAAGTCCCAAAAACGCAGCTGCTACAGAAAAGTATGCATTCCATGCAAAAGTTGACTTTTATGCAAGCCCCGTGCATTTCACTACCCAAGAATGGGTATAAAAACATGTGCGTTAACGGGATTCCATATGCATTGTTTAGCATCATGCTGACAACAACCACTCAGAAAAACAACAAAATTACGCAATTATTCAACATTATAAAATGCCACGCATTTCCGAAAATGAGCGTCTGCTTGAAGCAGGATCGAGTCAACGTGATGTTGCCAGACAATTCAACGTCCTCAGAAACACCATTTGGTGTTTATGGCAACGTTGGCAACAGACGATTGCAGTCAGAGACCATCTTCGGAGTGGCAGGTCACGCGTAACCAATAATCGACAAGACAACTGGATTCGAACAACACACCTACGAAATCGATTCCAGCCAGAAACAGTGACTGCAAGAAGCATCCCTGGCCTTCGACGAATATCTTTACAAACCGTACATCGTCACTTCAAATGTGCAGGGATTGTCGCCAGAAGATGCACCAGGAAACAATCGTCAAGCACGTCTACAGTGGTGCAGACATGCGTCTATGCTGGACAGCAATGCAGTGGGGACAAGTTCTATTCACTGGCGAGTCTCGTTTTCAGCTCAGCCACAGCGATGGACGGATTCGAGTGTACTGACGTCGAGGTGAACGTTACGTCAATCATTGTCATGGAAGATCGGTTCGGGGGCGGCAGCGGTATGGTATGGGGTGGGATTACAGCAAGACAGAGGACCCGTTTGATAGTGGTAGAGGGAAATCTCAATGGACAGCGCTACCGCGACGAGATCATCGGCCCTGTTGTTCTACCGTTTTTGCGTCGTCATGGCCCAGGCATTGCCTTTGAACATGACAACGTCCAACCTCATATTGCTTGACTTGTTCAGGATTCTCTTCAACAAAACAATGTGAATGTCATCCCCTGGCCGGCTCGCTCCCCTGATCTCTCACCAATCGAGCACATGTGGGATGAGATGGATCGGCGCCTTCAATGTCAACCACGTGTTCCACAGACACTCCAGGAACTTCGAAACATGCTCCAGCAGATATAGACAGATATCCCACAGGACTTTTTGCGACGCCCGGTCCATTCCATGAAACGAAGATGTGTTGCTTGCATCGCAACCAGAGGTGGACACACACGCTATTGATTTGTAAATTGACATTTTGGCATGTTCATGTTTTTTATGAAATCACGCATTTTCTGAAGTCAGAATGGCAAATTAAACCATTTGAACACTTACAGGAGTCTTTTATCTGTTGCAAACAGAAATAGTTTCAAATTTGGTAAAAAACATAACTTTGGATTAAATCTTATTCAATGTCACAGGAACTTTTATTGTTCAGTATATTTTTTACTTCAACATTTGTGCTACCTAAAACTTGAAAACTACTTCATGAATTCTTTTCCAAATAGGGGTGCAGTTTCTATACCAATCGGAGTGGTACAATACAAAGTTTGATTTTTATAAGTGGATTTTTATAAGTGAACTTTGAAAATATGTTGGATGTTGATGTCAGGGGTATTAGTGAGCCTTTCTATTACTATTATGTATATTGTGTGCACTCAAAAACTGTGTTGTATCACTTCAGGTTAATGAACAGGCTATAACAAACTTTGTAAATGAAAATGTGAATTAAATTAATGAAAATGCGATACAACTTCACAAGACATGATGACTTACAATTTCATTTGCATTTCTTGTTAGATTAGGCAACTATATTTATATGCAGAGATAAAGATTATTGTGTGTAGTTGTCTCGTAAAAATAAGCTGGAAATATCAATTGGCTGTCCAAATACTTTCTCCTTTGATCAATAGCGGTAATTTGATTGTGGTGACTGTAAATACTGGTGAGTTGTATGATCTGGTGATCTGATGTAAACTTAAAAGCATAAGAAGGATCATTACAAATTAATTAGCTGATGCACCTTTAAAAGAAGTGTGGGTGTGGGTGTGTGTGTGGGTGGGTGGGTGGGTGTGTGCGTGTGGGAGGGTGTGTGCGTGTGGGTGGGTGTGTGCGTGTGGTGGTGTGGGTGGTGTGGTGAGTGTGTATGTAAAAATAAACCACAAAGTACACAGTGGAATCTGTCAAAAACAGAATGTGTCAAATTCGGATTTCAGTGAAAAACAGACTTTTTCAAGTTCTAAATTTGATTCTGCTATCATCACTCCACAGGTTTCTAAGTGCGGTGACAAACATTGCCTTACTTGCAGCAAAATAATTGAAGGCTGTTCAGTCCAAATTACAAAGGACACTAAATTTACTGTAAAACAAAATATGACTTGTGATACTAGAAATGTTATTTACTTGAATGTTTGTGGTGGATGCATTGAAAAGTATATCAGAAAGACAGAACTTAAATTAAAAGAACGAATCTTCATGGTTCACAAATAAAGCAGCCCCACAACCGCATGATTCCACTCAGTGAACATTTTGATACATGTGGAAGCGGCAACTTTTTAGTTTTCCCGCTATATAACCAAATTTTTAACATGAACCTACATTATTTCAAAAAGAGCAACATTTCATTCATAAATATGCGCCTAAGTAAAATTTAAAGGCGTAAGTTATTTCACCATTGTCACCTTGGTATTGTGATGTCATAGTTCTCCTAAATGTTGTGACTAAATGTCCGTTATTCAGTTTATGGCCTGATGAGACTCATACGTGGTACGAGTTCAAAAGTGCTAGCCAATTAAAACTGTGTTCAATCTTACTCCACTTATTTAATATCACACACACACACACACACACACACACACACACACACACACACGTAACTATATAGATAATACATACGTAATCAAGCTTCAAGAATATAAGCATAAACAAACTTCAAATAGAATGCAACTCTTATGCCACGAGATTGGCGAAACCCTCCAACCAAGGTCAGAATTCTTATCGACTGCATTGAATTTTAGTTGACAGTCTTCTTCAATACCCTTTCAATGACACAGTTCATACAACAAAAGACCTTCACTCCTGCAATCAAACCCAAGCAATCTTACATAACATCTTTAAATCTCACGGCTTACATACAGTCCAACCAACTTAGAGAAATATATACAATGTGATCTTGACATAAGCACAGCCCTTATTAAACTTGGAATTCTATTCTGTTTTAAAGATCCATTGCACATGAGATGGACATGTTTTACCCAACTAGACGAGATTTCAATATATTTTCATGTAATTTTCAAAGCAAGATAATTGAGATTTTCTGGGCTTTAGTTATGTCTGGATTTTGTTACCAACAGACAAACATGCCATTTCTGACTCCTTATGATGTTTAAAGCATTTGCACATGCCTTTCTTGTTTTTTATGCTAAACCACCATCGCTAAAAACCTTTAAAATAATTAATGTGAATGCTAAATTTGTCAATACAATGTAACAAAGCTGAGAACAAATCCAAAATCATTATACCCTTTTGCTATTAAAGCTCTGTTGATAAGATAGTACTATCAGGTAACTTTCTATTGTCATAGGTTCCAGTAGTGTTTTTCTTCAGCACAATCTCCTTCAAATAATCTTTGTGTTTTCAGCAACTTGAATGTCTTGCCTGGAACAGAAATGGTGAAGAATTCATGAGTGCTCATCAAGATGGTAGTTTCATTATCTGGAGCACATCAGACTCGGAGAAGCCCAAAGAACCAGCTACTACACCTTATGGTAATTCCCATGCAGTGCATGCCTTCTCCTTCACTGGATAGTTGGTTCCCTGGTTAGAATAGGTCCCTGCACTTTATTCCTTGTCATAGACACCAACAGACATTTGCTCATAATATCAACAAATGTTGTTTCTAGGTTATTTACAGGCTGGTGTGATAGAGCTGATAGAACAACTAATAAGCAGTGGACAGTTCTGACAATGTTGACTGTCCTCCTCTTGCTTCAAATCACCATAATGCATGGCTCTCTTTTTCATGCTCTGAGGTTATCCTTCAACTTTGCATTGACAAATCACACTGAATTTTTTTGTATTTGGGTCATTATTAAAATTTGTACCTCTTTTGGTCCTGTTGAATAAACAAAAATAAAACGTGAAAATTCCAACTTTTAGTGATTTAGAGCACCACCCTGACTATAAATAGCCCGCAAGATGGCGGTGTGTCAGTTTCGAACAATGACTGACAATGTAAACACAACCGAGTGTCGGGAGAAGCTTTTTGAAAACAAGATCACCATTGACCGACAAACTTCGTATCAACATGAATGACAAATCCTGGACATAACAAATGGCTCCGTATCTAATAAGTCAATAAAATTTCTGTAGTTATATCATAAAAAATGTAATTGATCGTGCTTGGCGTCTGCATCAATCACAATGGGTGGAGCTTATTTACGGTTGCACTATAAATAGCAAAGCACATGGTCATGTGTACATGTGACACATTCAATGTATTTGTGGTCAAAGTGTATTGTGTTGTATATTTTTATGGCAGAACAGCAGCAGAAGAACAGTTTCGGTTAATGTAACAGCAGCGATACATAAATTCTAAATTGACGACAAGATTCTTTCAGTTCAATCAGAAAATTACAGATATTTGTTTAGTTTTGGTCATTTGCATGCAACAGTTAGATTCTAGATCTATACCACACAATCAGATTATATTTATAAAACTTAAAATATTAGATTTTTCAACTAGTGTTTAGGAAGGGACCTAATTTGAAGCACCAAAAGTAGCGCCTAAAATTCTTAGCTTCACTACAAAATATGAATATGTCATGTGTATCAACATAACAATGCACACAAGCAACTGATAAATAAGTAATGAAACATACTAGATGTTTTGACCTACATTAGGCCCGTCTAAATACCCCCTTCTACACAGCTGTGTTTTTTGGAAAAAAAGTGCGCACTATACTCAAGAAAATACGGTAATATTGTACTTACGATAAACGAAAACTCCAATACACACATATTCCAAGACAACTTTAATTATGGATTTCCTTTTCTTTTACGGGCGGTGGGGTAGCCTTGTGGTTAAAGCGTTCGCTCGTCACGCCGAAGATCCGGGTTCGATTCCCGACATGGGTACAATGTGTGAAGCCCATTTCTGGTGTCCCCTGCCGTGATATTGCTGGAATATTGCTAAAAGCGGCATAAAGACACTCACTCACTCACTCACTCACTCACTCACTCACTCACTCACTCACTCCTCCTCCTCCTCCTCCTCCTCCTCCTCCTCCCCAAACACTTCGGTTAAATAGCTCAGTCCATAAGTTTTGGCAACACTATTTTAAAATCGAGGAATTTCTGCAACATGGTAGCCGCACCATTCCCTAACTGCAATTACCTTTGCTATGTCACGCATGGTTGACAAAAGAAGTGTGAACATACATATTCGGCTTCATCTGATTCCACAATGAAATATCGCTGTGACACTGATTCACTAATCCCAAGAATCGGCACTGAATTTGTCAAAGTTTCTGTTGCACTTGCAAGGACGGGAAGAGAGGTGCCATCTTGTCGATTCGAGTTGATGATCGGAATTATGTCATCTTGAATTGGAACTTTCTCTATGATAAAGTCACCAATGTCATAATCGAAATGACCAAAGGCTTCCTGATCATCACAATTCTCCATCAAATTAAGTGTCACATGAAAATGTTTTGTTGCTCATATTGAAGACAAGCGAACTTGCAAAGTTCTTGACAGCTGTAAGCAGCAATCAACTTGGATGCGCTCATGGGGCATGGTTGCTAGGACATCTCGTGGTCAGAAAGCAGCAAAACAAAGAGTTTTTGAAAGTAATAAAAGAAATCCGCAGTGCAATCCAAAAGTACCATGTACAGGATGTTTTGCGTGGGTATTTGGAAGGAATCTTTTGATGACGCCGTGAATGAGGCTGTGTGTATTATATTGTTGAAATCAACTGACCAGGAAGATTGTTGAGACATTATGACAGATGCTTGTCATAGATGGAGAAAAAATTGCATCCGAGAGAAACATTGTTGCTTTGAGCTTCGAGACCAAACGTGTTCATGCCGAAGTAGTTTACAAGAGAGGAGATCTGTCTAGCCAGCTTTCTTGTTTATTAAAAATTTGTTTCCGAAGCAAAGTGACTATCAACATCATAAATTAATTCATAGACTAAATTCTTTTACCAAGTGTTTAAACTTTTTTTTTAAATGTCATAAAATTACTTACACAATTATTGAAAGACATTTTAAATAAGTAATATATTTTATTTTGTCTGCCTGCTCTCTCTATTAGTTGAGGCTTGAGGGGAGAAACACATACAAAAAGTATGGATTCATATGACGCTTGGCATGCCAATCAACAGGTAATCTGGGTCACTGCATGGGACCTGCCAAGTTTCACAGATCGAGTGACTCGAGCGGCATGAGGAGCTTTTGGACAGGTGTGACTTTGCCAAAACACATTGCTATTAGGCAATTAAAATGTGAAACGACAAAAAAATACTTTCATCACTTGAAAATATTTGTGACCATAACCAGTTTTTTTTTACAAGATCGTTGTCATCCAGATTCCAGATGAAACATAACTAAAAAAAAACATTGCCGTATATATTGTGAGAAATGCTATTCAAAAAACGTACACCACATGATTACGATTAGTGATGTGATACATATTGTGTTTTTTGTCCAATTACACTGCTCTTATTCATCATGACAAACATTTCATCTTGTCCAGAGAATAGGGAAGAACTTTTATTTGTGTGTTGGACTGTGTTGGATAAATCGTGGACATTCCACGGCATCATTTTATGAAGATGTGAAGGCGACATGGCATGTAGGTTTTGAAACCCAAGACCTACGCGTTTGTTGAAAAGTCTTGGAATTGTTTGATGGATATTTGCTATCATTAAAACTTACGTACTTGTTGTCAAACAGCCCACATAGGTGGGTGTTTACATGACGTCACACATTTCACATTAACCAATGAAATGTGTGTGTTATCATGACGTCATATTGACCTGTCAAGATCACTCGTATAAGCTCCGCCCACTAGAGTGCAGTAGTCACTACTGCAGATGCCCCTTTAAGGCCAGACAAGGCACCTTAAATTAACATAATTGCTTCAATATGTCAAAATCGAGATTTTGATTTTTTTCGCATATATAATACATGTACTTTGTGATGCAACATGTTTTTTACGATATTGTGTACATTTACTGAATAAAAAACGTTATTAAAATCATAATGTGTGGTATTGTTTTTAAATATGATCGTAATCAATGTGGAAAAACCTGAACTTTCACCCATGACAACGCCCCCGCAGCTGTAACGAACCCCTTCATGTTATACATCGATAGAAAGCTGATCGTTTCCGCCATCTTTCTGTGCAAAAACATTCTAAAAATAGATATTCCACGTGAGGCTATCGTCGGTTTTTCCCGCGAATCATTCGTACGTAAATTACCATTTAAGGAGAAATATCCCGTAACGCAACATTCGGGAATATTCGTTCGATCCAAATAAAGTAAAACGTATCCCACAATGCACCATTCGGCTTAGCAACAAAACACCGGTCTTTTCCGGTAGGTATACAAAATGGCGGCTGCTTTGCGAAAAGATTGACAGGCAAACATCGTTTTTGATATTTTCTTAACTGAAAATTGTTGTATTTTTTTAAAATGAGGTCAAAACACGGGTCACAACACGCCTATGGTTAGAATAGGAGGCGAAGGGCAAGTCAGTTGAAGCAGGCACGTTCGAAATGCGGTGTTAGAGTTACGACCCGTGTTGACAGCGCGATCATCCCTTGTCAGATTCTGACAGCTTGGACGTTTTAGATGCATCGGAATCATCCGGGGACCACGCCGTTGGGGAAAACATCCCCGTTGGAGACAATGAAGGTGAGAATTCTTTTTTATTGAATGCAACTTCACGCAGCGACATAAAACTATCAAAATTTAAAGCTGCTGAAAATATCAAATCTCCCGTGCTTGACAATGATGAACCAAAACCTCAATGGATGTTAATTGACATGAGACAAATGAATTTATTTTTTTCAAGAGATTGAATGCCAATCATGTCACGAACAGGGGTCTTTGTTGTTTGAAAAGAGTGACAATTTTGATAGATTTGGATTTGCTGTAAACGTTATGTTGACATGTCAAAACTGTCAGATGTGTGTTGCCAAAAATTACACTTCACAAAGGTAAGGTAATCAATCTGGTACCAATCCCTTTCAGGTCAATGAAATGTTTATGCTCTGTCAGAGGTAGGACTTGGTCATGCTGCAATGAAAAGGTTTTGTCTGGTTTTTGGAATGGAAGGTCTCCATCCTAAGACATTTCAACAAAAACAAAACATTCTTTCACAGGTTGTTGTTGAAAATACTAAGGAAGTTTTGTCAACATCAGACATTGTCTCGATGCAGAAATTGCAGAAAAGATGGTACCTGTGTATCAAAGAATGTCTGATGAAAACCTTAAGAGGATGGTGAAAGGCAAGACACAGAATGCTAATGAATGCTTGCATTCCGTGATCTAGTCCCGTTGTCCGAAGACCGTTTTTGTGGGTGCAAGGCGGTTGCATCGGGCAGTGGCGTCTGCAATAGCTTCGTTCAATGAGGGTACATGTCACATTACTCAGGTAATTAACAAGCTTGCAATAGAAGCTAATGAAATAACAGCAGCTTCTATTGAAAGACTTGATAATGTGAGAACCCTCAAAGCAAGGAAGCAAAGCCAGGAGACATCTAAGATAGAACGTAGTGCAAAGTGGGAGGCTAAAAAAAGGGACCGAGTTCATGTTGAGGCAGCTGAAGGCTTGTTGTATGGTGCTGGGGAGTTTTAAGTCCTGTTATTTCTTTGTACATACATTGTTTTATGTATCTTGAATACATCCCATCAGTAAACTAAGATTTTGTAAGTGTTTAATAGGTGCTGAAGGAAGAAAACCATATACAAACTTATTTCCTCATTTTCTCCATTAACGTCATTTTGGATCTTAGTGAACATAGATCTCAACCATTATTGGCCCGATTTGAATGAAATTTGGTGTACATATAGGCAGAGGATTACTTTACACAATAACAGAGAGACTTTTTACAATTTGTTGGCCATTTTGATTTTAAAAAATAAATTATGGGTAAAAATCAACCTAAAAAATGTGAAATTTTGAAAAATTATTTTAAAAATATATCCCAGTCTTTTTTTAATTTTTCTTTCTGTCATTGTACGCAACACCATACAAGCTTTGTTATACAATTGAAATTATATAAATATCTTTATTGGTCTTAGAGAAAAACTGAAACTAATTTCCATCTTTTTCAGGCTTGCGGCGGCCATCTTGGATGTTTCCATGGCAACCGGTGGCAACATCACCTGGAAAAGACTCCATTTCAATTGTTAATATGTATACCTCAAAGTTGTAACCCATTAAAACTAACAAATACTTGTGAAGCATTTTGTCAATTGTAAGGTGCAGTGTCTGGCCTTAAAGGGGAAGTGTTCACGCAAAAGTTACTTTCTTTCTTTTTCTAAACAAAACGCAATTTTAGAATTAGTTAGTATCTGTGTTTGAAAATATACACTCATTTTTTCACAGTGAAAGTAGGAAGCTCACAATAGTGTGAAAATGATATGCCGTTATGAGGCCTTCGTTTTTCGAGCTAAACAGGCCTGAGTTATCCCCCTTAGATTATGACGTAATTGGTGCCAATTCAACTGGGTCCCTGTCTATTCTCAACGCAAAAGATATCAAGTACCAGTTTGTGGTAAAACAACATGGCCTACGACACACTCCGGCGCAGTGGTGACTCAGCATAACACTATGCTAGCTGGCATCTGAGACGCAAGAATCACACAACTGTACCTACACCACGTGAAGCGGCTCTAACAAAGCATGATGACGTCATAATGTTTATCAATTGGCACCAATGACGTCATATTGCAAGGGGCATAAGCCATGGTGTTTTTGTTATGGAAATAGAACACTTGGTAAATGTGAAAAATATAAATAGCTTTAATGCGAAAACTATGTTGATTAATTGTGATATTTTTATATTTTTGTCTATGACACTTCTAGGTTAACACTTTTAATGTGGAAAAAGTACGAGAAATATAGGTTCATTTCCGTGTGAACTTGCCCTTTAACAAGAAACATCTAAACTTAACAAATAGTTGGATAAATTATGCCAACACAAAGAAAATTATTTTGTCATATTCTAAATATACCAGAGAAACAGTAGAAATTTATTGTCCTTGGTGTAACCATTATAAGTACCGATCTTTTGCCGAAATATAAATTAAATACAATATTTCTTGTATTATTGTAAAACTAATATTTAACCTGTGCCTAGAAAAGAAAAGGAATCTCACTTTTATTATCACCACATTTTAAAACTTGGATCATGACTCATTGTGAGAAATAAAAAATAAGAATTTATAATTTTTTCTTCTGTGTCCCACACATTACCAAAATGATCTATACAATTTTAATATTCTTTATTTATTGAACATGTTCTTTGTACTTGTTGAAAATCATGAAATGCAATGTGTGTTTACCTGAATCATTTTTTTAGAATTTACTCTGGTAACACCATTACAAAACGGTTACCGTATTTTCTTGAGTATAGTGCGCACCCATGTATAATGCGCACCCCCCTCTAGCGGATTCAATATTTTGAGAAAAAAAAGAAATTTGAATATTATGCGCAGAAAAAAATGACACCGTACCCCTTCAGCGAAGTCCGGCAAATGAACGGGTGATGAGAAACTTTGTCAGTACAAATTCGAAATTTGAGATAAAAAATCACCAGACATGTTGATTTACGGTTTAAATTGTATTTTTTGTTCAGCTAGGCATTGTTTTATATTCAGGGAATGAGATTACCTTGTGTATTTTCTCGTAAACTAAGCCGGACACAGCAATCAGCTGTACACATGTTTTCTTGGAATCTACCGGTGATTCGGTCAAGACACACCCAATGATATAACTTAACAGTATTTTAATGCAAGGATCGGCAAAAGTTGTATCTGAAACTATTTGTTTATCAGGAATAATATATTCCAATATCTTGTTAATTTAGATGCAGCTTTTACTAAACATATTTAATATAATAATAACCCTCAGCGAAGCAGCTGATCGCTATTGCCGGGTATTATTTTTTACATGGAACCAGTCTGACCATTCACCGTCAAGTACATAAAAGACAAAGCAGTAACACCAAAGACATTACCATTACTCATAAATACTTTTCTTTCGCGTCACAATAATCTATCAGAATGACATGATGTGCTAAGGTTGGTGTTGCATATTTGCAATGGCATCAGACATTTTTGTTTCATTTTTTCTTTGCAGTTAATACTACTGACTTGTGGACATATTAAGTAACACCAAAGACATTTAATGATTATAAAGGTACCTAAGTTAGGGTGTTTTCATAATTTTAAGTGTTAATATGAGAAGTTATTACTTGCAGACTTGTGGTAACACTAAAGACATTTTGCATCATCTAACCCTAAGTTAGAGTGTTTTAATAACAACACAAATTTAAGTGTTAATATGATTAAAGAGTTGTAATTTCAATGTCACAAGACATGTTTAGCCATTGCCCATTCTAAGTTAATAATTGCTACCTTCTAACACCAAGGACATATTAGGCAACACCAATGATATTTTGTCATGATTCAGGTAACACCAAAGACATATTTTCATTCAACATAAAATAAAAATACATTTTCTGGACGATTTGCCAGTGCTTCAGCCACCCAAACATTTATGTGTTCTCAACTCCCTACAACCACCAGCTTCAGACGGTTGTATCACTGATACCTGATGTTCTGGCTTGGGAGCACGACACCCTTGCCATCAAGTGTAACGGCCTACACACGTATGTATTTCCACTTCTAGTTATCATCCAGAATCTGTTGGTAGCGCCTTATTGCCCCAGTTGGACATGGTTCCCCCATCTGCTCGGACACGCAGGAGAGCCAGACTTGAAACTCCCTGTGTTTGGTCTGGTCTGCTATGAGATCCACAGATTTGACAAACACAATATGCCCAGTCATGGGATCCATTTGGTCCATATGGAGAATGCATTGATGGTCAGGGGTTTCTCCACGGTGGCAGGTATTGACACATTGCCTTTCTGCGGCTTCCCTGTATGACCATATATGAGTCTCTTTTGAGGCTTATTTCCGTCAACATGATACGGATCTTACCCTAGCAACAACTCCGTTCATAGCAGATTTCTTAATCTACTTGCATGTCAGTTGGAACCATTGCCATTGTTCTACCTGTATCGTCACTGTTCCTGAACTTGCTATATTATGGGGTTTACTGTAAGGCCGATCAGAAATTCACCCTCCGGCCTGTGGTCTGGGACTGGTTCTACGCCACCTTGTTTCTCCCTGTGAACCTATCGCTACTGCGGATTTGGTACCTCTTACTCGGAAAACTACCTCTCTCTTGTCGTGCGCCACTTCGGCACATGTCGGTGAACTGCACGCTCTAGTCGTCAGCCAATTCAAGCTTGGACGTGGTTCACATGCAGAGGTATATCTTGGCTTAATTAATGTAGGACCTTATTGCCAAAAATCAATTACCTGGTCAGTCGGATTGTACCTTCACTATTGCTCTGAGGTCTTCCTTTGCCCTGTTCGTGCGTTACGCCGTCATATTGACGTAACTAGTCGCATTCAGCACCAACATAAGCGCCTTTTCCTACCGACCATCGAGGGGGGTCTCAGGAATAATTGCAAAGAATAAGCTGTCACTTTGGTTACATTCCATCATTCTTCAGGCATGCTGGTCTGGATCCACCTAGAGCTTCCAATTCACATGGAATTTGGGTGTTGTTGTTCATGAAGGCGCTCCACACCAACAGCTCCATCACGAACATCGTCATCACAGACATCGCCTTTTGGTGAACTGACACTACTTTTGAGGATGTTGCTGGAGTTCACCAGGTGGGTCCTCTTGTCTTTGCCCAACAACTCATCACACCTCCATATCACCGTTGACGAGGTGGGAACGAAGTAACTGCCATCAAGGATGCCCATACCGGTACTCATGCATGTTAACTCGTCACAGAGAGTACAACTTATCGTGAGGGAATCGGATATCCCCCCTATTGATATACTTATCCTGACACAACAGGTCATGACTGCCTGCCTGTCCGTTCATGCCCCCTATAGATTTGGATCAACTCGTCTCCTGTCTATGGGCGATCATGGGGAAAAAGTGACCAGTGGTATAGGAGGAGCATGCTGGGAGTGAGATGGTCGGAGGGTGTGTTCCGGTGATTATTTTACATTGTTTTACACTGTTATATGATGCAATGCAAGAAGGAATATTGCATACTTTTGTGTCAGGATAAGTATATAAATAAGGGAATGCTCTGATTCCCTTTAATAATCAATGTTGACTGCGTGGTGCAGACAACGTTTACAGTGGGTTGCCAATTAGTGGATAGTTGATATTTGCAGGCATATCTCGGTTTCGCCTGCAACGTTCTGATGGACGTTTTCGAGTGTACGTATGTCGTGAACGTTATATCAATACATGTCATGGAGGAAGATTGGTTTGGTGGGCGAAGTGCTATATATAGGGAGGGCAACAAAGAGGTCACAGTAGGTGTTTTTTGCCAGAAATCTCAATGCCCACCATTACAGAGATGAGATAATCCAGCCTGTGGTGCTGCCTTTTCTTCACCAACATGGCACTGGTGTGATCTTTCCAGCAAGACACCGCCAGAGTTTATGTGTCATGACGTGTACGGCAAAATTTTGTACAGAATAATGTTAATGTTCTACCCTGGCCTGCTTGCTTTCCCTATCTGTTGCCCCATCGAGCATGTCTGGGAGGCGATGAAACAACGTCTTCAACATTTACCCCATGCACCGTATACACTGCAGGAGTTGTGGTCCACACTTGTATTGATCTGGATTGCCATTCCACAGGACTTTATACGACATATGGTTGGTTCAATGCGACACAGGTGCTGTGCCTCCTTTCAAGCTCATGGGGGCCACACCTTGTATTGATTTGTGAATTGACATTTTTGTGACATCATTGTACTTTTAATGGCCATACTGCTTGCCATAAACATTTTTCAGTTGTCTCTTGCTTGTCCAAATAAATGATTTCCTCATTGCCTTGTGACATGTAATTTTTATATTGTCATAAAACATGTCAGTTTCTTTTGTTGGTGAGTATAAAATAAAGGATAGCTCTCAGCCTTAACATTAAGTCTTTAGCATGATGGATATCTATTGGGAATCATCCTGCACTCAACCAGCTCATGAGATCTTTTCAGCTGGAGGACGTTAGAATTCCATACATATTTCTCAAACGGAACTTCTCCATTGTTTTGTCTACCTGGAGAATCCATATCAGCCCTTGAAATCAACCTTGTTGCTGCAGAGCAACTATGAAGACAGCTTTTCTATTGGTCATGGCTGCAGCAGCCAGAGTGTTAAAATGACATGATCCTGACTTTTCTGGACTTCGGCTTACAGAAGACTGGAGCTTGATTATCATCAGAATCCTACCAGTGTTTGTGGCCAAGAATCCCAGTCTTGGGATGATGTGGACATAGACATAACACGATTCCTGCCCTTTGGCAAGAGTTTGACTCTGCCTGATTGTTTGATTTTCATTGACCAAGTGTGTCTCCTCCTGTTCATTCACCTCAGGTGATGCAATTCTACAAAATGGAATGACATTTGGTACATTTGTAGTGGGTTTTTTCTTTTTACCTTAATTTGACCTTGCACTTTCTTATTGCACAAAATTCTCTCAAAATGCATTTGTTTAAGGGGACTTTGCTTTCCCCCCTCCTCAAAAGGGACTTTGGGTCATTATTACTTACATCTGTCCGGCAATCCCAAAGGAGTTAGAACCTTGACCATAATATACAAACCGATATTATCCCCACCCTATAATAAACAGATACATTGTATACGTTTGTTTGTTATGAAGAGAATAATACATTTATGCCAATAGGATTCGTCCTACGGGGTTCCCCCTATACTCCAATATCTGAGTCACCTTGACTCAGCCTATGAATTTTTGGGAGTCAAAAATATTTTATTGTATGATTAATATTTAAAGTGTTCACTGTTAATTTTACACTTAAACTTTAAGTATCTTTTAAATATTATGTCTTTAGTTTAAGTTAACAAGTGCTTATTATTGTACTCAACTGATTGTAGTTCAGAGAAATAAAGGACATATGAATGAAAAACAGTAGTATAGGTAATAGGGGTTCTGGCTCACTTCCGCTGGAGCCGGATTTATATACCGTATTTTCTTGAGTATAGTGCGCACCCATGTATAATGCGCACCCCCCTCTAGCGGGTTCAATATTTTGGAAAAAAAAGAAATTTGAATATTATGCGCAGAAATTTTTTACACCGTACCCTTTTTAGCGAAGTCCGGCAAACGAACGGGTGCTGAGAAACTTCGTCAGTACAAATTCGAAATTTGAGATAAAAAATCACCAGACATGTTTATTTACCGTTTAAATAGTATTTATTGTTCTGCTAGGCATTGTTTTATATTTAGGGATTAAGATTACCTTGCGTATTTTCTCGTAAACTAAGCTGGAAACAGCAATCAGCTGTACACACGTTTTCTTGGAATCGACCGGTGATTCGGTCAAGACACACCCAATGATATAACTTTATAAGATTTTTAATGCAAGGATCGGCAACAATTGTATCTGAAACTATTTTATTTATCAGGAATAATATATTCCATTATTTTCTTAATTATATGCAACCTTTAATAAACATATTTAAAATAATAATAACCCTAAGCGAAGCAGCTGATGGCTATTCCCGGGTATTATTTTTTACATGGAACATGTCTGACCAGTCACCGTCAAGGCTCACGCGCACATGATCACGTGATCGCGAGAATTTCATGTTGACATAGAATCGTCAAACAAAAACAAATATGACTTTTAACGAGTCAAAGTATGTCATTTATGATATATATATCCATTCTCTGTCAACTAAAGTTTGTTTCAAGGCGTCAATAGCGGTATTCTGACCGTGGTTGCTGTTAATAACGGTGAGTTGTGCGATCTTCCGATCGCTTCACACACGATTTCGCCGAAATTAATAAAAACAATATTAAAAGGAATTTGAATAAAATTAATGAAATAAGTTACAAACATAGTCCAGATATACAAAGAACACTTTTTATAGCCAGACAGTGTAATTACATAATTATTTTGCGTAATTCAGTATGGATTTGTTGACATGGTATTCCCGGTGTTTCGTGCTCACGGTAATGTCTTTCCATGGGGGAAAAAACATCCAAACTCATAATTCGTGTATAATGCGCACCCCCTTCTACACAGCTGTGTTTTTTCGAAGAAAAGTGTGCACTATACTCAAGAAAATACGGTACCTATACTGCTACTACAGGTGGCATTTTTTATGCCAAAATGACTATGCGATTTAACGATAGTCATGAGATTAAGTTAAATTGGCTCTAGCTCACCAATACCTGGGGCCAATCATTGCTTTAGATGAGCCTAAATAGTAATAAAAATATTCTTCATTATTTTTATCGATAAAGCGATATTCAACATTTTTATTAAGTTCTTCTTCATTTTACTAGGAGACCAGACTATATAACTACACTCTTCTTGGAAATTGATAAGAAACAATTGATAACCGTATTTGGTTGGTTTGACATCACTGATATAATAAAAACCTTGTGGTAATTCTCTCCATTTAATAGCTTTTTCGATCTCCATTATTATATATATTTATGTAAAGTTTGTTGGTTTCATTTTTTCACAATCTTTAATTATTTCACAGATCATGAAACAATTTACAGTAATACTAATACAGGATGAAAAAATAACTTCAGTCTCAACTGACACAAAATTTTGAATCATGGATGGATATTAAAATACATTTCATGTCAGATTATGATTTAATATCACTAACTCATTTACATCTTTTATCTAGTTATCTTGTATTATATATCAATAGTGAAGTTGAACTGAAGAATTGTAAACACTGGTTGAATACAGTTTATTAGCAACAACAAACACATCCTAAACTTTACATTTCGTATATACCATATTTATTCATGTATAATACGCATCCTTAATTATGGGCAATTATTAAATCCTGAAAAAAATCTCTTGTTTACAATACACAGTCTTTTCTTCAGTCTCATTTCAGGCTGTTCTGATTTTAGTGTTATAACAAGAGAAAAGTCTGGTCATGTGACAGGCTATGCAAATTAGCCTATGGCAGTGGTGTTATGCGAAGTTATGTTACTGCTAAAAACGACAATTAATTAAAAACTAGACGTAAATTTTAAGACATTTGCATATGTATTGTCTTCAGAAAATGTTTATGAATGAAGTTCAGGTGAGTAGTTGTAATATTTTTATTCCAAAGCTGGGATAAATTGCGTCAATCATGCCGCAGACTTTTATTTCTGGACGTATTTTTTCTTAATTGAGAGTCAAATACGCAAGAATCCTGCGTCGGGAAACTGGGGTCCTTGCCTCTGGAAACCTAGATCCTTGATCATAACATGAAAATGTTTCAGATCTTCATGCTACATTTGTATCTAGAGAAGTACATGTTCATACTGTCAGATTTGCCCTCCACCCCTTTTAAATGCTGAGTCAAAATTACGAAATATTTGCAGTATTATATACATGTACAATGCAAATGTATATTTTGTCATGATTGCGTAAATATCCAGGTAAGTGATACAGGCCCTAGGGGCCTCTTGTTTTACAAACTAAAATGAAATTAGTAAGATTAGTCTGGGTTTGTTTTTTTCATGACGACAAAAATAATTGTCTCTCAAAATACACATTCAGCTCTGTAATTCTCTGAAATTGCCAGATTCTCTCCTTATGATGACACATTTTGTACTAATCATCAGATTTATATTTATATGGAAATATATGGAAAATATATCCGTTGAGTAGCTGTCTTTGTTGAAGTTTTGAACTGCATATCCAGGTGAGCTACAGTACCACAAATATTTTTGGCTCTGTAAACATCTTCTTGGAACTTGCCAGTCTGAGGAATCTGTACTTTGGCATTTACATTTCTTAATCCTCTGTATTTATGCAGAAAATATATTTAAGTCAACTTTTGATAAGTGGCTATTTTTGTTGACATTTTTTAACTGTTTACTAAAAACCCATTTTTACCCAGTTGAGTTATTCTGCTGTGGCACTGATTTTTAAGTGCTACATATGCCTACCGTTCCTAAAATACATTATGAAATTATCATTTCAGGACCATTTCCATGCAAAGCCATCAACAGACTTCAATGGAAAACTGCTAAGTCGTAAGTACATGATGCCATACCGTTATGGATATTCTGGCTAAGAGTTTCCAGCAACCTGTGTCTGTCGTCGGAGGCAACTTAAAGGGACGGGACCCCTGAGCTTATTGGGCTCTCCTTATTCTGTGAAAGGATTTTCTGGACCAGTGACCACAACGTGGGTGTAGGCTTATCTTGTGACTGGGCTTTTCTTATCCCCCGCCACAACGTGGAAGGGGGATATAGGAATGGGTGCTGTCCATCCATCACGTTTTGTTTCTGGAGCAGAACTCAAAAACCATGAGAGACATCTTAACTGAATTTGGTACATAGATAGGTCTGGTGGTGAACTAGTCCCTTTGGTAGTTTGGGATTTATTTTTCGAGTTTTCATGGCAACGACTTTGACTTACACTGAAATGGTGGTAGTGATAATTTCCAGAGGGCTAATGCCTTGCACACAACAGGTTATGTCATATTGGCGGGGGATATGAGAATTTCATGCTTGTTGATATTGTTTTAGGCCTTTTCTGTATTTGATTTACTATGTATTGACTAATGTAAGAGCTAAATAATTGTACACTATTAGAATTTGCCTATATCTTATTATGTCCTTATCTGTCCATCGAAAAGTAAATGTAATATATCAATATTGACAATGAATATCATGTCACAAGTCACACTTTGTCACATGTTGGCATTGAATGCAGCGAAATCATGAAACTTACAGGTTACATAAATGAAGAATCCTTCATGTCACACAATGCCATCTTGTCTGCATCTAAGCCTAAACTACGGCAATATTCAGTCATGCTTCATGGTTGTTCCACTGGCAATCATGTTGTGCAGGCTCAATTCTAGTAAATCTACAGTACAGGTTAATACAGTACAGGTTAATGTTGAAAAACATAGATCAGGTTGTCATCCAACTTTCATTATTATTTACTGGGGATAATTACCAATTAGCTGAAAATATGTAATAATTTGAAATATATTAGACAGTTTTTTCTAATGAAGTTGAAAAATAAAAATAGTTCAGTGTTTTTTTTTTGGTCACTATTTTTTCCATAACCTATGACCACTACAATGGAAGATGCCATTTTGCTTTCCAAGAAGCAGCTTATTTAAGTCCATGCAATTAAAATATGGAACAGGTGGCAATGAAATCAAAACTTGTAGAGTAATATTTGTTACAATTTTAACTACTTTTCTCCCCGTTTCGGAATGTTCTGAGAAAACGGACATATGTACACATGTATAAATAGAAGTTCCAAACTCCTGTAGATGAGTGTAGTAATATGTGCCAATGCAAAGAAATGCATGTTTCAGAGACCCTTTCATCATCTTTGCTGGTGGCATGCCCCGTGCCAGTTATGGAGACCGCCACACACTCAGTGTAATGCAAGGAGAGAACCATGTGGTGTTTGATTTCACCTCTAGAGTGGTGGATTTTATTGTGATGTCTCGTGCTGACCAGTGTGATGCTACAGATGATCGAACAGGTAAGCTTCAGGTCTTCTTATCCTTGGAAAACACTTATTGCGAGTTATATATGGGGGGGTGTCCTTATGCTATTCACCTGTTTGACCGCAGATGCACGACTAGCGACACTGTGTCAGATGGGTTTATCATAGTCATACCTCAATGTCAGAATGATGAGATCTGATTGGTCCACGATTTCTTGATAAAATACTGTGTATCCCGCCTTGAAGGGCAATAAATTTCTCATCAGGGGAATAAATCTTATAACGTTAGGTACTTGCCTCTGGCTCGGGGAATGAAACCTAACGCGGGACACTTAAGACCCCATGTAACCCTCGTGATCCAGCTACAACTTATATTGACAGTAAGGAGCTTAAAGGGGAAGTGTACACACAAAAATCACTTTCTATCTTTTTCTAAACAAAACGCAATTTTAGAATTAGTTAGTATCTGTATTTGAAAATATACACTCATTTTTTTCACAGTGAAAGTAGGAAGCTCACAATAGTGTGAAAATGATATGCCGTTATGAGGCCTTCGTTTTTCGAGCTAAACAGGCCTGAGTTATCCCCCTTAGATTATGACGTAATTGGTGCCAATTCAACTGGGTCCCTGTCTATTCTCAACGCAAAAGATATCAGGTACCAGTTTGTGGTAAAACAACATGGCCTACGACACACTCCGGCGCAGTGGTGACTCAGCATAACACTATGCTGGCTGGCATCTGAGACGCTAGAATCACACACCTGTACCTACACCACGTGAAGCGGCTCTAACAAAGCATGATGACGTCATAATGTTTATCAATTGGCACCAATGACGTCATATTGTAAGGGGCATAAGCCATGGTGTTTTTATAATGGAAATAGAACACTTGGTAAATGTGAAAAATATAAATCATTTTAATGCAAAAAATATGTCAATTATTAGTGATATTTTTATATTTTTGTCTATGACACTTCTAGGTTAACACTTTTAATGTGGAAAAAGTACGAGAAAAATAGGTTTATTTCCGTGTGAACTTGCCCTTTAAAGAAAGAAAGAAAAACCCATCTTCAGTGAAGGTTATTATCTTCTTCTTTTTTGTATGTGGAAGGTTTTGACAAGTCACATTTGAGGTTAGCTAATCGGCAATCAAGAAGGCAAATGCCCTAATGCCATGCTACTTCGTAAATGAAATAAGACTGAGGGAGCTGATCTTGAACTGGCCTGTATGGCTTTCCTAATGACAATGTAATGTTTTGTTCAAATGTTTCAGTGGTTGTTTTTAGACCTCAGTATTTATGCAGAAAATGTTTGCATATTAACACTTACAGCAACTTTTAGGAAGCTATATTTCTTGACATTTTAAACTTTTGACTTAATATCCAGTTGAGCTACAGTGCCATTGGACTATTTTTAAAAAAATTCTGACAAATTCAATAAAGAAGTTGATCATTTCATAAGATGCTGCTCAGAGGTCACTCATGTTTCAACATGTTCCAACAAATGTTCTTAATAAAGGTGATAAATGGTAACCATGTTAGAACAAATCTGAAAGACATTCTGTATACATGTAGTGTATTTTAGTCAGCTAAAGGATTTTGCTTTTGTCTTTTAAATTTAGGATATGATGAGCCACATGCTCTTGTTGCTTTGGTAGAAGAGGAGCTTGTAGTGATTGACCTTGATACCTGTGATTGGCCCACTATCCAGCTTCCATATCTGGGAAGCATCCACTCATCAGCTATCACTTGCTCGCACCATGTCAGCAATGTTTCTGACCAACTGTGGCAGAAGATAATTGATGCAGGGCATGCACAGAACAAACAATACTCCCAGAGAGTAAGTATTATTTTTGTTGTTGAAACAAGTTTATGATATTTCAGCAAACATTAAGATGCAATTGCAAATGTTTGGATTAGGGATTGTTTGGATTAGGGATTGTAGTTGTAGACCAGTGGAGCTTTCACAATGCAATGACTGTCATCAACCCTCATGTTAACATCCACTTTCTGCATAATAACATCAATAGTTCAGCAAACCCATGTAAATTGGGATGCTTTTAGGTTTTGTTATCCTATAGTTGGCGCCTCGTCCATCCGTCTGTCCATAATCATTTCGTTTCTGGAGTATAACTACAAAAACCATTCAATATTTTTCAACAAAACTTGGCAGATATATGAAACAGATCCTGAAGTGGCGCCTTATGCTATTTGGGGATTTGGGGCAATTTTTCTTTTCTTGATTTCCATGGAAACAATTTTGACTTAGTCTCAAAAGGGTAGGGGTAGGTGTCTGTGAAAGGCTTTTTATCCAAACCTGGTACGTGTATTAACCAAGGGCTGAAGTGGTGTGTTATGGCATATATTGTTGCAGGTGACAGTGTACCCCGAGTTTCACTACATATATTGTTGGCATATGAAAAAAACAAAAAAACCTGGCAGATAAAGATGATGATGTTGGTCATGTTTATTAAGATGATCATCATTACATTTATATGCCATCCTGGGATATGTAGTTGTCTGTCTGTAATCATAAATTTTCCAGAGCATATCTCGAACACTATACAATCTAGCTTCATGAAACCCCATACACTTATTGATCACATTGAGCACTGGTGCCTGCTGCTATTTAGAAATTTTCCAAAGTGGTATTTTAGATAGTTCAATGGAAACATGATGAACTTTGAAAATTGACGGATAGTGTCATTTCCGGAGCATGTATATCTAAAACTAAGCAACCCAGCACATCTCTTAAAATTACTTTCAGAAAGTTTTCTGCACTTGTTATGCTAGTATTGATGCCTTTGAAGTATCTAGAGCTTTTATAGAATTATTTTTTACCATTGTTAGGCGTTATCCAAACTTAAAAAGTGTAGACCTACATGACAACTTTATGAGCTTATGTGTCAGGTAGTGTGTACATGCAGGGCATGTATATATGTCTTTGTGTTCAGAGATATATTTTCCAATTTTTACTGTTATTATTTAGAAAAAACATGAAACCATATTGTAGAATGTTGTAGAAATTATATAAGTTAAACAATACATATTTCTACAATCATATGTATAGTACATGGGGATGTGAAAACAAAATTTCCCCAAAATAGATATCCCATTCCTATATAAATTACATCATATTTTGTACAGAATAGTTTGATAAACATACTTAGCAAAATAGAAGTGGTATTCAAATACATTTCATATTAATAAATATATACATACATTGTATGTACATAGACATTCCAAAGTTTTGCAGATAAATAATTATACAGCAGTCAAAAGATGTCTAACAAGTGTTATAACTAATGTACATTTGTACAAGGGCTGGTGAAAAAGTTCTAAGCAAAACAAACAAAACCAACAATTGTGAAAGTGTTTTAATTTTATTTTTCAAAATAATCTCCCTTCTTTTCAATACTCTTCTCATATCGATAGGGAAGCTTTTCAATTCCAGTCAGGCAGAAGTTTTCTGATGCCACCCTAAAAAACCCATTTATGGCAGCTTTGAGGTCATCGTTGTCACGATACTGCTTTCCACGGAGATGTTCTTTTAGCTAAGGAAATAGGTGGAAATCACTTGGTGCCAGGTCTGGTGAGTATGGAGGGTGAGAAAGCTCTTCAAACCACATTGTCGCACGGCAGCCTTTGCAAGTCGAGAGGTGTGAGAAGAGGCATTGACATAAAGTTGTAGAACTCCAGCAGTCAGCATTCGCGCGGCTTTTCTGTGATAGAATCTTTCGGGCGTTGAAGCAGATCAGCAAAGTTGGCACCGGTAATTGTCTTTTGACTTTCTAAGTAATAAACAAGGATGACACTCTTTGCATCCCAGAATACAGTTGACATAACCTTCTTCGCTGATCTTGAAGTCTTAAATTTCTTTGTGCCGGAGAAGTGGAATGGTGCTTTTCCATGGATTGACGTTTTGACTCGGCATCATAGTAGTAGACCCATATTTCATAACCCGTTAATTTTTGTTTTGTTTTTTAATTTGACATTATCCTCCTCAATAAGCTCTAAATTTTCTCTGGCAATGTCATTTCTTTTTTCCCTAAGATCAGAATTTAGAAACTTTGGCACCTAACGAGCAGAAATCTTATTTACAAAGTTCAGCAATGGTAATATGTCTATCTTTCAGTATAACTGTTTTTGTTTCCTTGATTGAATCTTCATTGATGGAATTTGAGGGTTGTCCAGACCAAGGGTCATCAAGGCTTGTTCTCCCAGCCTTAAATTGAGCTTTTCCCCATTCACTTGTGACATGCGGTCAGGAATTTCTTGGGGAGTACTTTTTACTACAATAAAAAGCTTGATCAATTTTTAGTCGAGAACTGTGTCAACATAATTTTCAAGCGTAGTCTGAAATGGAAGTGGCCAGGTTGAAACGAGAGCAGTAAAGCTCAAGAAAGCTGCTTTCTAATTGGCTAATATCATAGAGACTGAGTCCAAAACAATGCCTAAATATTCAAGACAAGTTTCGGGTCCTCCAGTCTTGTGACCTGCTTTTGGAATTTGGAGTCTGTCAAACAAGGTTCAGATTGCTTTCATAGTTCTACCAGCTTCATAACCAGGAGGTTCAATTGTCAGAAAGTTTTCTAGTTATGCAGAATATTTTCCACGCCATAGTTGTATTGCAACATACAGCATACAGCTTGTGATAGGGTATCGAATATTTTTGGCTTTTGGGTGCAGATCAAGTCCAACCTCGTATAGAAATAGTAGCTAGCATCTACTAAGAAAGGCCAGTACTTGGGGTGCAGCGGAACCTGTTCAAACACATCAATAATGTCAACTTTACACATCTGTGCTCCATGTCCAAATTGTTTTATAACTGCAATAGCATTGTCTATGGTCACATAAGAAAATGAAGCAGATTCCTTACAGATAAGATCGTTGATACTTGGAGTATGTTTTGTGTCATGTGGGGCTGACAAATCAAGGATTAACCTCTTCTTGCCAGAGTACTTGCCCATGGCAATTCCTGAGGGGTTTATTCTGTACACGGGATATGGTGCCTGCTGGAATGGTCCTATGACATACCCTTTTGCAACTTCTGTCTGCACTGCCTTTGTCACTACTACGGGATCCAATGTTGCACTACCATTGTTCTTACATTCTGTTGTGGACTGGAATATCTGACATTTAGGGGTAAATGCCATGTTGCAATCTGTTGATGATACGTTGTAAATGAAGGAACGGGATGGGAAGCTAGTTCTGCCTGTATTGCATGTACATTGATAGGAGTGTGATGAACTGCTACTGTACCTCTGTCATCTTTGCCAGTTATGTCCGGGAAGGTTAGTCAAGCTTGAGTATCCTGTCTAGACTTGGGAGACTTTGCACAATTTACTTGTCCATGATTCCTGGCATAACAGTTGAGACACACAATTGAGAAGGTATGCACAGTTCGCTCTTGACCAGCCCTGGTGATTGAAATTATTACAGACCTCATGTCCGTTTGACCTCGAGGCTCTCCCCTAGTGTCGTTTCTGTCTGTCGTCCCCTGCCTATCAGAGATGACAGTTCTGTCCAAGAACAGGTAAGACCTAACTTTATCGGTACGTCGCTCAGGACACAAGTCTGTATCATAGATGATGCTCTGGCATATGGTACATGATCTAAGAACACAGTCCATACAAACGTGTGTCCCTCATGTCCCATCTTATGCTGCATCCTTGCTCCGCATAAGATGCCACCCTGGCGGCAAATAACAATGAAGTCCAACTGTTAACGTTTTGCATTATTTGTGTCGCAGTAAATGTCCTTGTATATGCCAAAAGCCTGGATGAATTTGGCTGGGGTCAGTGCACGATTTAACCTTACATCCCCTTTCAATTGGTAGACATTGCCATCATATTCGGCCATTCTTGCGTCTAAAGTGTCTAGGTAGTTTGGGTAAAAATAGCAAAGCAAGGTTGCAATACTTCTTCTTGAGAGCTGGAGCTACTGAGTGAATGTGTGGCAGAGAATCGGAAGGCACTTCATGGCTGTGGTGTGTGTTGACTAGTCATGTTTGCCATCATTCACGTTGTAGACTTGTAACACTAACAGTGACAGGAGGCACGGTGTTGGTCACATTATCCACATTGTCTGACACGACATTGTGTGGTAGACTGGTCCCCCTGACAAGGACATCTAGATTTCTGCTGTGAGATAGTCCAGACTCAACAATCACCAGAAGTGTAGCCGCCGACGTTGAATTGTCACCGAGCCCATAACTGTCAGACGAGGTCACTGTCGCTGATACTGGCCTTCTGTGTTGATTTTCTTGCAGCAACTGCAACAAACTTTTCCTTGGCCATTTATTCGGTACCCACACACCACGTTCTGCCAGTTGTTTTCGTAACTCGGCCAACGGTTGACTGCTGGGTCGCACTGTATTGCATCTGGAACTGTCAACATTGGGGCGGGCTACGAGGCGATCCATGTTTTCATTGGGGTGTGCGGTGTCGAGAACATTTACCTGATTACACCGACTTCTGGCTCGTCTCTTGTCTCCTCTCCGCCATAATAAACTAATGGATAGCCTACATCCAAATACCCTGAGGTCGGGTGGCATTGACAACTTGAATTTCAGCACGGTTGGTATATGATAACAACACTGTTCAGTGGCTTGAAATAATGGAGAAAGTACCCTGTTGCAAGTCTGATAAGTTAATAAAGGTAAACACTATGACTTCATGGCAGGCTTATTGGGCATGTGCCAACTGTTTGGAAGTGGAATTGTGGGAAGTAATTACTGTGACATAATCTAGACAGAAAAAAACATTTAGATGATAGTGGTTTTATCCAATCGTGTTGATTAAAACACTAATTGGGTGACTGACAAGTTATTGTGATAGATTAAATATGCACAAGTAATATCTGTTGTTGCACAAACTGAAGTATTAATTTACCATTAATTCATCTGTATATCATGCGTGATGCTATTTATAGTAACTTAGATGAGGCAACTTCCCAGCATGCCTAGGTACGAGCATGTGCAGCAGTGCTTCAATGTCAGCCATCTTGTACATGTTTTGTAAACAATGACAAGCAACTCCACCCCCATCCCCTACTACCGTCCATGCATATCCTTGTTTCACATGTATTTCGTGCTTCCAGATTCTCCCTGTAGTATTCATTTATTTGTATTTCCAGTCATAATTTTGAGCATATGCAGTATTTTTACCCCCTGCAGTCATAATTTAAGATAAGATGCATTGGATGCCTGTTGTCAGAACACAGGTCATGCTTGACCTCCATGTATTTATCAGGCTTAGTCAGGCTTATAACTTTTTGACCAGCCCTTGTATCAGATGTATATTTCAACACTACCCATTTCATAATAATTGTGGTTTCTGGTTGTAGATTAATATGTTCAGTTAAGTTTGTATACTACTCAAAAGAAGTTAAAGAACACCCAATTTTTTTTATATGACTATAGTTAATCTGTCATGGCTGGTTGGTCTTGCAACACACATCCTTCCAATTGTGGGTGTTCCTTAACTTGTTTTGAGTAGTATACTTTGATATTAAACAGTTTTGAGATCAAATCCCTTCTTTTATGAGTAACAATTATATCTGATAACTGTAAATTGAGGGCAGATAAAAAGATACGTACAGCTTCTTTCATAATGGTGTCCACCTTAACAATATCCTGAGTCATCTAAAAATCTATCATATCTATGGCCTTTCAAATCACTGCACCGCGGCAAATATTGGTGAAAATATATGCTGAAACATGGTGCCTTTGTTATTTAGGAATTTTTCAAAATTTGATTTTTGCCTGTTGAGCAATAACTAAAAAACTATTCAACATTTTTCATCCAAACTTGGTACATGGCTGAAGTGGTGCCTTTTGCTATTTAGGAATTTAATTTTTACCTCACCGGGTCTGAAGGACCAAGGTGAGCTTATGGGATGTCGTCCGTCCGCCATCCGTACGTCAACAATTTATTCAAACGACTTCTTCTTCTGAACCACTAATTGGAAATTAACGAAATTTGACTGGAAGCATCCTTAGGTGGTGAGGATTTAAAATTGTACAAATGGTCGGGCTGACCCCCACCCCAGGGGCTGAGAGGCAGGCCAAATAGGGGTAATTTGGCTATATTGCTTTAAACGACTTCTTCTGTGGAACTAAGAGATGGATATCAACCATATTTGGTTGGAAGCATCCCTAGGTGGTGGGGATTCAAAATTGTACAAATGGTGGCGCTGACCCAAAATTGTACAAATGGTGGCGCTGACCCCCCAAGGGGCTGAGGGGCGGGGCCAAATGGGGGTAATTTGGTAAAATTGCTTTAAACAACTTCTTCTCTGGAACTTCGAGATAGTTATCAACCATATTTGGTTGGAAGTATAATCAGGTGGTGAGAATTCAAAATTATACAAATTGAGGGGCTGACCCTCCAAGGGGCTTAGGGGTGGGGCCAAATAGGGGTAATTTGGCGTTTTTGCTTTAAACGACTTTTTCTCTGGAACTTTGAGATAGATATGATTATGATCTTAAGTTCCATATTTGGTTGGAAGCATTCTCTAATGGTGGGGATTCCAACTTGGACACAGTTTAGATCCCCACCGTATGACCATATGTTGGTTGGTTGTTTAACGCTGCACTCAGCAACATTCCAGCTATATGATGGCGGTCTGCAAATAATCGAGTCTGGACCAGACAATCCAGTGACTGAAATCATGAGCATCGATCCACTCAATTGGGATCGATGACATGCTCAACCAAGTCAGCAAGCCTGACCTCCGGACCCTGTTAGTCGCCTTTTACGGCAAGCATGGGTTGCTGAAGACTTATTCTACCCCAGATCTTTACAGGTCTATACCATATGTACAATTGAGAGTATAATGAGAGGAATGCACATATGCTACCAGGACTGGCCCTTCTGTTCACTCCAAGAGGAGTTAGAACCTTGACCATAGGTCTTCCGCAACCCATACTTGCCATAAAAGGCGACTATGCTTGTCGTAAAAGGCGACTATGCTTGTCGTAAAAGGCGACTAACGGAATTGGGTGGTCAGGCTCACTGACTTGGTTGATACATGTCATCGATCCCAATTGCATATGATGCTTATGATATCAGTCACTGGATTGTCTGGTCCAGACTTGATTATTTTACAGACTGCTGTCATATAGCTGGAATGCGGCATTAAACAACAAACAAACCAACCTTGACCATTACATGCAAACCGATGTTATCCCCACGCTATAATAAACAGATACATTGTATATTACCTTTGATATGATTTATCCTGGATCATAACATGGAAATGGTTCAGATCTTTATGCTTCATTTGTATGCAGAGAAATACACATTCATGCTGTCAGATTTGCCATCCACCCATTTTAAATGCTGACAGTGTCAAAATTATTTGCAGTATTATATACATGTACAATGCAAATGTATATTTTGTCCTGATTGTGTAAATATCCAGGTGAGCGATACAGGCCCTATGTATTAAATTTTTCCTGTTTCCATGGCAACAAGTTCGACTTTGACTCTGTTCATAACTGGGGCGGTCGGGTAGCCTAGTGGTTAAAGTGTTTGCTCGTCACGCCGAAGACCCGGGTTCGAATCCCGACATGGGTACAATGTGTGAAGCCCATTTCTGGTGTCCCCCACCGTGATATTGCTGGAATATTGCTAAAAGCGGCGTAAAACCAAACTCACTCACTAACTGTTCTTAACTTCATAGCTGTGTGTTTGTCTAGACTGGAGTAAATGCCATGCTTGAACTTTGGCCCTACCTGGAACTAATGGCAGTTTCTGTCCTGTCTGTCACAGGTCGATAAGATTTTATGAGCAGTTGCCAGACAGAGGCCAATTGGAAATCCTTGTCTTGATCCCAGCCTTTAACTTACTTAATCTGTTTCCTGATATGTTTAATTGATTTTTATACTTTTCTTTGTAGGAATGGCCTATCAAAGGTGGTAAAAGTCTCTCTAAAGACCCAGCCACAAAGGACATGCTTCTTACAGGGTAAAGATCCAGTTGGTGTAAAATAATATGCTAGCATAAAAATGTAACTGGATCATTTTAAGTGGTGTAAATGTTATGTTGTTTAACTTATCCTGCATTACTCCTTTATGCATTTACTGTTTGTTCTTGACAGAGAGAAAGAGCTGTGTACAACCTTGCTGAAGAAAAAGTTGTTTAAACTAGCAGAATCACACAGCTCCCATGTGACCATGGAAGGGGCACTGTCAGGGCAATCTTTAGTGTTTCTTCGTGAACCGTTATTGTGCATATATTTCATATGATTTATGCCATAGCATGAATATTTAACTCTTTCAACGCCGTAGGCTGCTACACTGGCAAAGAATCCTTGAGTCCCCAGACACCGCAGGCTGGTAGACCAGCCAAGCAGTAATTATGTCAAAATAGTATATAATTTTAAGAACCTACCTCTCATCATTCATCTATTAAATTTATCACATTTCACAATGTATGAAATACGTATTCCATGTCAATTTATAATTTGTTTTCGATAGATTAAAAAAATATTCATTATTTCCCCGCAATGTTATTGCAAATAAAATCTTAAATATTATACAAAGTAATAAATATAATCAACAAAAATATATATCTAAAAGTTGTCAAGCATAGATCTAAGTTATTATTTACATTTCGTGCGATTGTGTGTAATGTAAGTCAAATGACATCTTGGCTTTCATCGCCTTGATTTCTCAGCTCAGCAATGTTTGTCACAGCTCGTAACGATGCGTCCTTGTAGAAGATTTCATAAAGAATGAAAATATAAAAGAAATAGGTACCGTAAAGTGGATTTAATGAATCTTATATTTGCCGGATATCATAAAGTTTTCGCTTCCTTGGTCCTTAATTATGACGTTATGAATGTGTTAGCTTACATTTTTTTTATTAGCAACTAACTTAATTAAGTTGTAAATGCATTATTTGAATAATGTGATCAATGTAATTATACCCCTGTTTACTAAGTAAATTGGGGGTATATAATGTTCCGTCCGTCCGAGCTTTTGTACGGCCCATAACTTTTTAACCATGCTTCACCAAACGTGCTACACCCATATAACCACAATGAGTACTTGTGCCTTTTGCTAGTTTGAAGATTCTAAAAAAAATTAGTTTTGCTGTTTCCATGGAATCATGGTGAAACAAAAATTTTGGGTAGAGTTTTTGTACGATCCATGTTTACAATATTATGTATCCTAGCTTCAGCAAACATGCTACATTAACCACTATGATTGTTTTTTATTTTTTAATACGATTCTGAAAGTTTTCTCTTTTGCTGTTTTCATGGAAACATGATGGAATTTAGAAATTTTGATGACTGGTTTTGTATGGCTCATGGGGTTACAAAGGAAAGGGCAGTTCCTCTGACAGGTAACAGGTATATTTCATTAATTAACAAACTATTTACCAGTTGTTGTTGACCCTATAGAGGGGAATATAGAAATGGTGTGTGTGGGGGTGTGGGTGTGGGTGTGTGTGTGTGTGTGGGGGGGGGGGGTGCCTTTTGCTATTTAGGAATTTTATAAATTTTTATTTTTTACTTTTCCATGGCAACAAGTTGGACTTAGGTTCTATAAACGTGCTGTTCGTTTCCGGAGCGTAACTCAAAAACCATTAAATACTCTCTTACAAAACTTTGCATGTCTACTAGGCACATACTGAACTGGTGCCTTTTGCTATTTAGGAATTTTATAAAAAAAAATTTATTTTTTACGTTTCCATTGCAACAAGTTGGATTTAGGTTCTATAAGGGTGCTGTTCGTTTTCGGAGCGTAACTCAAAAACCGTTAAATAATTTCTTACAAAACTTTGCATGTTTACCAGACACATACTGAACTGGTGCCTTTTGCTATTTAGGAGTTTTATAAATGTTTATTTTAGAATTTCCATTGCAGCTATTTTGACATGGCCTAAGAGAAATGTTGGGTCAGTTACCTGGTTTGGGACCATAACGTGTTAAAATGGCGGGGGATATAGATGACTTCGTCGACTATACGCTTGTTTTTATATGTATAAACAGTGGGATTAGACCTTTCAAATGCTGTATAACATGTAGTGGCAAAGATGTTTTACAAGCAGATATTTTCCTTGATAAATGTTGGCTTTATCTATCACACAAGAATCTCTGGGAACCCAGTGTCACAGAGGTAAAAGTTTCTGTTTTGACTGGTGTTGAAAGAGTGAACCCCTGGTGTTGTTCACCACGGTAATCACGGGCCTGTCTTTTGTTTCAAGTAGTCATTTGTAATATTGTTTTTGGTCATGCTTTTTTGTGTCATGCGTACTGTATTCTCTGTATTGCTTGGTAGTGCATTATTTGTTGTACGTTTACGATGATATTGCAGATACATGCCAAGTTGTAGCAAATGTTGCCACAATAAGTCTGGGTGGGATCCACATCCAATGTGCCTACATTGCACCACCATCTGCACCCACAATTCAAAATGTAAAGCCTGTCTCCCACTTTCCCCCCATAGATTTTGCAAAATGCATGCAAGCTTCAAGGGAAACAACAGTTACAACAGGCCCAAAAACTCCATCTCAGCAAAATGTCTGACACCTCCGAGCACACTACGCCTCCACCTGTGATGTCCACCACTGTCTCGTCCTCGGGGATGATGTCCACTGCCTCCGTCATTATCTCATCACAGGCCTGATCTACATGGCCTCCTTTGTTACTATGACGCCGGGCTTGGCGCCTATCACCCTTAGCTAGTCTATCCCACTATCTATGCCTCTGCAAGCCTCTCTACAATTGCCTCTACAGACACCTAGTGTGGATTTAGGTGGTGCCTCTGTGGTCCGCCTGACTTTGTCTCATGGCTCTACCTTCTAAACGTGACTCTCCAGTTCAGCGCTCTAGGGATTACAATTCAGATTCCTCTGAGAGCTCTTTCGTCCCGACGTATGTCTGATGTCGACTCCCACCACATCAGGTTGTGGACTGGCTGGCAGATTGTTTGGCTTCTGAAGCACCTTCACTGGGGTCAGGCATTGATAAGGACACAGTCTGGTCTAACCCTACATCTGTCCAATCGGATCCTATGATCAAAGACATCGTCTCGGCATGGATGAAGACTTCGCCAAGCTCTCACGTGCACCATCATTCAAGGCGCCCAAGTATAGGAAGGAGGATTTTCCTATACACTCACTGGACTGCATGCTCACTCATGACGGTTGGGATTATCCTCCGAGGGGTCCTGTATTATGGTATATACAGAGGATAATCCCAACCGTCTTGACCACCTTACCACTGTCTTGGCCTACCTACAGTGCCAGACAAAACACATGAAGGCTCATATGCGAGCACCACACGTCGACTGGGCTACTTGGCACTCCCGAATTTACGAGTGACCTCTTGCGCCAAACCTAGTCAGTCATCTTCCGCTTTCTTTAATGGTCAAGTCTGTGCCACGTACACTTGGGTATCCAGCTTTGGCAGAGATGACACTGCCCTCCAGGCCCTGGCGCATGTTTCACTCTCCGCCTTCTTCAAGCCCTCAAGATCGGGCAACTATCAGCCCAGGCTAAACTCTCTCAAGCCATGTTGACGTGACACCTCCACTTTTTGCGGTAGAAACCAGGGCAAGGAAAAGTCCACCAGATCCTACAAGCCTTGGGAGGCTGAGGGTAGATGCGACAGACACCAACGACTGGGATCTCCCACCCACCAGTCATTCCCATTGTCGAGACCCCTGTAGGTAGGAGACTAGGACGATAATGGCAAAATTGGACAATCTTGGTGGACCCATACGTCGTACACTTTCTGCGCTGAGGGTATCAACTCACTATGAGAGACAACGTCGTCACCCATTGCAGACGCTCATCCTCCTACTCAACAGCTCAAACATCGACATGCTGCTGGCCAAAGAGGCCATAAAGATTGTCCACTCCCCACCAGGCTTATATTTGCTAATATTCCTTGTCCCGATTGATGCTTATGATCAGGGGTCCGGAAACGGTCATTTAAAATATTGCTTACAGGACATTTAAATTTTTCTGTCTGGACATTTTAAAAAACAACGCTACATTCGGGGTCCAAATAATTGATGAGCGTTATCGAATCCCTTCAACGACCTCAGGTGAATAAACAGGCATAACAAACTTGGTCAATAAAAGTATGAAATTTGATATAAAACATCACCAGACAAGATGATTTTACCATTTGAAATGTATTTCCTGCTCTCGAAGGCATTGTTTTATATGCAGAGATTAAGATTACCGTGTGTATTTTCACGTAAACTAAGCCGGAAATAGCAATCAGCTGTGCACGCGTTTCATCCCAATGTACCCAGTGATACCACTTTAAAGAATTTTGATGCAATGGTGGGAAGAAATTCTACCTGAAATTATTATTTTATCAGGAATAATATATTCCAATATCCTGTTATTTTAGTTGCAACTTCCACCATATATACTTAAAATTATAAGAACCATAAGCGTAGCACTTTGGTACAGATGGTATGCAGGATATTTTTTTTACGTATGGAATGATTTTGACCAGTCACCGTAGGGACTTCTCGCGCTACATGTATTTCGATTGCGAAAACGTTATGTTGACATTTAATAGTCAAACTGCCTCAAATATGACTTTAAGCATGTCATGGTACTGCATTTATGATATGTGTATCCATTCTCTTGCAACTAAAGTTCGTTTCAAGGGGTCAATTGCGGTAATGTGACCGTGGTTGCTGTAAATAACGGTGAGTTGTGCGATGAACCGATCACTTTGCATACGATTGCCGAAATTATTGTAAACATTATTATAATTATTGAATGAAATATTGAATAATATTAATCAAATATATTGCAAACTTTAGTCCAGATAAACAGTTAACAATTTTTTCTATTACCAGATATTTTAATGATAGGATTAAATTGCCTTCTTCAGTTTGAGATGGGGGAAAACATCGTGTCATTGGAAAACTTGAGTTTACTAAAAAAAATGTTAGTAAATTTTGGGAGCCATGCTTTACCGCGCTATAACCGAAGCGCTCAATGACGAGGGAACACTGTACGTAACAACTTGTAATGTGTGTGAAAAGTCGTACGAAAATACACTTTTTGAAGGGGGTGTGGCCTAAATGCATATGTCCGATTGGGATTTTAAATTTTCCGGAACCCTGCTTATGATATCAATCACTGGATTGTCTGATCCAGACTCGATTATTTACAGACCGCCATCATATTGCTGAGTGCGGCGTAAAACAGCAAACCAACCAACCAACCTTGTCCCCAAGAAGGACTAGGACCAATTCCGAATGATACACAATTTGTCCACATTCAACAAGCACTACCTGCCGCGTCCACCGACCAATCAGCTCCAAGACCCGTGAAGATTCCGGGGTAGAATAGGTCTTCAGCAACCCATGCTTGTCGTAAAAGGCGACTAATGGGATCGGGTGGTCAGGCTTGCTGACTTGGTTAATGCATGTCATCGATCCCAATTGTGTGGAACGATGCTCATGATATCAATCACTGGATTGTCTGGTCCAGACTCGATTATTTACAGACCGCCGTCATATAGCTGGAATATTGCTGAGTGCGGCGTTAAACAACAAACCAACCAACCAACCAACCAAGCCAATACCCACTTTCCTCCACCTGAGGAATGTCCAGTTCAAGGCATATATAGATGGCTGCCTCCTGAACCACCAGGACACGGCCATGTTCATCCCTGACAGGGACTTCACACAAGGTCACCTACATTAACTGGCATGAATCATCAACGTGCAGAAATCTGAACTCATGCCTTCGTTCAATCTCCAATTCATTGGAGGCCTATTCCAATCCTTCTGAGACCTGTACCCAGGGACAGGTGGCACTGAAAACAACTCCCCTTACTCCCTGCACTGCACCAACCCTGCACTCTGTGCGAGTGGCAGGCGCTCCTGGGTCTCCTCATGTCAGTGCAGGATCTGACCTCCAGAGGGAGACTTCACCTGCACCCTGTACAGATGCTCCTTGCTCCCTACATCAGACGCCAGGATCAGTCGGTGTCAATCGTCCTCGCGGACCATCTCAAACACCAGCTCCGATGGTGAATGGTGGAATCGAACGTCATAGACGGAGTCTCCTTGACAGAACTTACGACCTCATTACACCTATTCGCCGACACCTCTTCAGGGCTGGGGAGCGCATATGGAGGGTCAAGTCGCCTTGGGGCTGTGGTCCGCCATTCAACAACAGTGAACTACAGGTGCTCATATTGGCTCTCTCATGGGGAGGATCACTTTATCCACAGACAATATCACTGTTCTGGACCACCACATCGCAGGTTGCTGCAACATCCTTGCGGACGCCCTCTCCAAACAAGACAAGGCAGCTCCCACAGAGTGGAAACTCCATCAGGATGCCTTCACTCTTATCTGTCATCACCTCGGCCACCCCAACATCGACCTGTTTACCACCAGCCAGAACTACAAGGTTCAAACCTCACCAGTACCAGACCCACAGGTTTTGACGTCGATGCCTTCTGCCGCCAGTACTTCCCAGGGTCCTTCAGAAGATCAGATTGACCCAGAACCTTGATCTGACATTGATCGCGTCTTGGTGGCCGGCGAGGGGCTGGATCATGGATCTCAAGATGACTGCCGCCGACCCTCTCAAATTCCCAGACTGGCCAAATCTGCTGATCCACCCTCGCAGCAAACGGCCCATTCAGGCTCCAGACAGGTTACATCTTCACGCCTGGTCCATCTACAAAGAGCCTATAGTTCCGAAGGCTATTCGGCTAGAGCGGCGAGGGGAACTACCCTGGCTTGCAGACCGTCTACCAGGGGTCTGTACAATGACAAGTGGCGCTTCTTTGAGAGTTTGTGCAAGGAAAAACACCAGGATCCCACCTCTGTGTCTCCCCATTTCTTGGCTGAATTTCTACTGTTTTTGCACCACAAGCTTCTGAAGGGCAGGACCATCCCAATATACCTTGTGGTCCTCAAGTCTGTCTTGGCAGCTCCAGATGATTGAAGAATTACTAAGATGATTCCGGAAGTTCAAGCTTTACTATGCTCCTTACGTCTTGAAGACCCAAAGGCCAAGTTTCGATCCCCAGTGTGGGATTTGAACGTGGTCCTTTCCTTGCTGAGAGGCACTCCCTTTGAGCCACTCCACATTGCCAGCAACAAGACGCCATTAACACTTCCACATGTCCAGAGGTTGCCTATATTTGAAGACTATACATGATGCAAGCATGAGGCTCGGTACGTCGCTTCATTTCATTTGATTTCTATGACTCCATCGCTACATGGACTTCACGCATACCTAACTTTCTCCCTCCCTGTCAACAGCAATGGTCACTCGATGCCGGACATCGCTATTGCTGATTTGAGAATTATTTTCACATCTGAAGGTATGCTCTCAACCGTTGAATAAAGAGGCATTAAGGTGTAATGCAGGATAAGTTAAAAATTCTAGTAAAATACTAGATATTTTATATATTTTTATACTTATCCTGCATCACTGTGCCTAAAGTGGCCCACCCACTTTTTAGCACTAATGTGCTGATCTTACTTACTTACTTACTTTGGAGATTTAACGTGCGCTTTCCGACTGATGCGTATTTCGCACACGGGCCCGGCCAGGCCATTTAATGTGTTTCCGAAAGGGGCGAAAGTGGTCTGTGCAACCCAAGAGGGGGGTTTAGGGGTTGCTTATATAGAATTTGGGAATTTTGAGATTTGGAATAGATGCCGATTGGGTTGGGGAGGAAAACTAAGGGAGCTGGGTATGGTGGACGTTTGTTTGTTTATGTGATTTTGATTTGGTAGGTTATTGTGTTTTTAGATGCGTTTTATTAGTTCCGTTTTTATTAAGAATACGCCTAAGGCCTTGAAGTTTTCTAGTTTATTTTGTGGGTTTAGTATTGCTTCTAGAGTGAGAGCCTTGTTTAGATTGAGGGTGGTTTGTAATGCGGTTCATTGTGTTAGGTAGTGTGTGCAGTGGATGAGTGCGTGTTCTGGGGTTTCTAGTTGTTTGCAGTGTGGGCAGTTACCTGTAGTGTGTTTTTTTATTTTTTTTAGGTGGTTATTTAGGTTGGTGTGTCCTGTTTGGAGTTTAGTGATTACTCTGTCGATTTTTTTTGATGGATGGAGAATTTTTGGTTTGGTTAGTGGTTTGCTGAGCACTTTTTTGATTTGGCTATTTGAGTTTAGATATAGGTTATGCCATTTTTTTGTGATTTTTTGCTTGTTTACACTTTTAATTTCTGATTTTGAGATGGGTAAGTTTAAGCTTATTTCTGGGATTTTGAGGGATAGTTTAGCTGCTTTATCGGCGTTTTCATTACCGTATATTCCTATGTGGGCGGGTATCCACAAGAAGGTTATTTGTTTGCCTGCCTTAGTTAGGTCGTTGGAGCTTTTAAGTATTTGATTTATTAATTTAGGTCGGTTTTTGGTATTTTTATTTTTGAGGGCTTGCAGTCCACTTAGGGAGTCGGTAAGTATTAGGATTTTTTTTGTGGTTTTTGGAATGTGCTGATCACTGACGTCACCCTTTTCATGGTTGCATGGGGGCTGTGTGATAGGATTAGCCACTCAGCTAGTTGACACAACTTCTTCTTCAGCAAGACCTCTCACAGCTCTTTCAATGTCAAGAACAAGCAGTAATGTATTAAGTAATGCAGGATAAGTATACAACTATATAAAATTTATAGGATGTTTCTAGGTAGTTGACAATACCAGAATATTATCATAACAAATCCATTGACAAAGCCCATGCCTGATAACAGGAGAAAGTGACATGCCCTGAAAGAGGGCTGTTGTGACAACTCAGTAAACAATATCAGTATTGGGTGTGACCATCGTTTGCATTGATAGAGGCGAGACAGCCTTGCATTGAAGACACTAAGCAGCCTGGAGGATGTTGTTCCAAATGTCAACCAAAGTTTGATAAGAGCGGACAACAATTTCCTTTAGATTGTACTTGTGCACTGAATGAAATCAGGTCTGTCATATTTTTGTACATTCTCTGTGTATTTATACATATATTATTTATGCAGTGATGTCAAGGGTCAGTCTGTATCCGATGTCAACAAATGCCCGATCATATGAGCCACCTTTCAGCATTAAAATATAGAATGGTCAAAGTAGTACTTATGGTGTATACTATCCCATACATCACTCACTTGCCCTCTCACAGACAGACACTCAGACATGCGGAGACACGCGCACGCACGGTTATTTTGAGAAACATGTTTTCCTTCAACCGTGCAGATGATTTTCCATTTACAAATACAGTATTGATAAGTCCTTGAGGGAAAGTAACACACCAAATTATCTTTATTCAGACACGAAGATGGAACAGTGAGATTTTGGGATGCATCATCTGTCACACTCAGATTGCTGTACAGACTTGGCACAGTCAGTCTTTTTGCTGAATCACATATGCCAGAAAATAACTCAAATGGTGCTGATGAAGAGGAATGGCCTCCTTTCAGGAAGGTTAGTGTTTTATCTGACCTTGACCTTTCCATAATGTTTTTGACAATGGTCCATCTATTTGTACTTACCGTAACACTTTTTTGTAAACTATATGGTGCACAACATATGTTAGTGAACTTATTGTCTTTGAACACAAATATGAGTCTAGGCTGGGGTCCAAACTTTTGGCTGACCTCCATGTGAGGTCAAGGTCATGAAATGTTGCATGAAGCATCTGTTTTCAGGACATCATTTATGAAAAGCCATGACCAATAAAAATAATCAATACCTGTCGTATGTTGTGGATGTCACATATCAAGGTCATAAACTCAAACCAGCTTCATTCAGATGGTGTAAGATAGGTTTTATGCGGAAACTTCATATTAAGGCAGCTCCATGTGAATCACTAACCTGCCTTATTGAAAATCTATGTATGCCCATTTGAATCATCCCTCACAATAATGCCCTTTGCGATAACGCAGGTTTGGTTAAATTGCAGGGTAGTCAATAGCTCCCATGAATTTAATTTATTTCCACTACAGACATACATCCTCACATCATCGGTAATAAGACATCAACAAATCCATGTTGAATTAAGCAAGTTTATCCTTGCAACAGTGTAATTCATTTAGGAAGGTAATAAGTGTTCATTGTATAAACAATGTATCAGGACTTTGGACTTATATTTGTAATCTATTTGATTAGTTTTAATCACATTTTCATTTAATGATAACTGTTGACATTAATTTATACAGAATTCGTGCGTTAAACACCATGCTTACTTCAACGCATAATGGCCCATTCCCTCCGTTACACTTTCAACTTCCGTTTACCCAGTTCCATTTATCACATTCTGTGATAGCTCACATTATTCACAGCAACTGCAGTCAAGATTACTGCTATTGATGCCTTGAAGCAAACCTTAGTTGTAAGAGAATGGCTGCATATATCATAATTGCCATACTTCAACTTGTTAAGTCATATTTGTTGTAGATTGACTATTGTGCTTCAACATTTTGTTTTCCTGATGAAAATAGCTATAGCAGTGACTCATGAAACTGTTCCATAAAAATGTAAAATGTATCCTGTAATGTACCAAAGTGCTATGCTTATGGTTATTATTATCCCCTGCCCAACAAAGTTGGCGGGGGATATAGAAACAGGCTCCGTCGTACGTCCGCCCGTCCGTCAGGTTCTGTGAGGGTAGGGTTCGTTTCCGGAGCATAACTCATAAACCGTTCAATATTTTTTCATGAAACTTTGCAGGTTTGTCAGATACATGCTGAACTGGTGCCTTTTGCTATTTAGAATTTTTAGAAATTATTTTTTACGTTTCCATGGTAACAAGTTGGACTTAGGTTCTATAAGGGTGGTGTTCATTTCCAGAACATAACTCAAAAGCCGTTAAATACTTTCTTACAAAACTTTGCATGTCTACCAGGCACATACTGAACTGGTGCCTTTTACTATTTAGGAATTTTAGAATTTTTTATTCTTTACGTTCACATGGCAACAAGTTTTAATATAGGGTGGGTTCACTTATGGAGTATAACAAATAAACTGTTAAATATTTCCTTGCCAAACATTGCATGTCTATATATAAAGTACATACTGAACTGGTGCCATTTGATATTAAGGAGTGGAAACTGGACTTTTATAGTCTGTTAAATCTCTTGCCTTGGGAAGATGAGTTTGGGACCATAACGTGTTAAAATGGGCGGGGGATATAGATGACTTCGTTGACTATACGCTTGTTTCGTTATTGTTTTTTGTAATTTGTCATTTGTTTGCATAAAAAAAACACTTGTGGGATGGGTGGAAATGGGTGGTCTTCCAAGGACCCTGAAACCATGTAAGGGTTGATTGTAAACCTATAGAAAGTGTGTTCTGTGTTGTGATTGGCTAATTTGGGTCACATGACCAAATGTCAAAGGGTGAAAATATGATTTGCATTCCCTGAAGCAAGGGACCGAATCACTGTGTAGGAATACATAATTATTCAGCATTTATTGCATACTAATTAACAATGGACGCAAAATGAAATACAAAATTGACATTCATAACAAATATTTTGATTTTCTCTGTTTATTGGGATTTTAAATTTTTAATTAAAAAAAATTATAATGAAATAATTACCAAGATCACAATCACCATAGCGACTAACGCGCACCTGGTGAATCCTCAGATATCACTGTTCTGTATATCAAACGGCATAAAAGAAATGTGTGCATATAATTTAACGAAAAATAATATCGATTTTGGTTAAGTTATATCGTCAGTTTTAGTTATAAAATAAAATGAAACGGTTATTCATGGATACTATTTATATGAACTTATAATATTGACTATTACACTCCCTAGAAATACATACAAGATCAAATGTAAATGTACCTGTCACATGTACACTTGTTCAAATTAAAGAAATATCATATACGACACTATAAACTTATCAACTTCATATGTGAACATTGTTCAAACAAACAGGAGATTATCAAACGTTCATATATGTTGTGGCCTATATCTACGTATGATATCATATTGAACATTGATTAGTATCCAAAGTGAAATTAATTGTGTGAAAAAAATGTACAAAAGATATGCAAGATCTACATCATGAAACAGTAAAAAGCAGTTAACAATGATCGTGTGAAGTTTCATTCAAGGACCTTCACCTCAGAGAAATTACCAAATATGTACAACAAATATGTGGAAGTTTGACATCACTACCGGTGACCGAATTTTACAAAATGGCGTGTTGACTGTCAACAGTGCACGGGATTTTACGAGGGGACTTTCGTTGAATCAGTGTTCGCATATACATAAATGTGACATGTAAGTAATCAGAAACATTCTGACAATCTGTGTACTGTTTTTTGTTGTATTTTTCATTGAAACCAACGAAAATAGTCAGAAATTCTGATAAATACCTTTGTCGTTGTGCGTGATTTTGCGTCAGTTATGGCGTCACACAGGACGGGAACTTCGACAAGTTCTGTTGAAAATATCAAATTATTGCAATGTATATATGTTTAATTCCCTAATTCTTCCTACGATTCACTTCCCGTGTATATTCTGAAAATGCAGATCTAGAGCCAATGTACTCAACGAATAGACGAATGGCTTTGTTTACATTTCCAACAAGTGCAGTTTTTACAGCGTTCGTTTTCACACCTCATTTATTTTGCTTCATTACATCTAGACAATTTGTATTTGTGACAAAGACCATTTGGCATTTGATTCTAAATGTATGAGGAATTCAAGGATGTAGGTATCGCAGCTGGAATATACGTGATGGTATTTGCGTCTCATTACCGGTGTACATTAATTACCAAAATAACAATCATCATAGCAACAACAGAACGTTCGATGTTGACACCTCACAACCGAGTAAGTACGAGGTGTTAAAGGGTGCGCATGTTTTTTTCTAAATAAAACAATAGGTTTACAATATCGATAAATACTATGTGTGTGTCTATTTCCGGGATTTTATCGAGTATTTGCATCTTGGAAATTCATCTCGAGACCCGAAAGCGTTAGCTTGAGGGGCTCGAATGAAAATTTCCAAGATGCAAAATACTCGATAAAATCCCGGAAATAGACACACACATAGTATTTATCTTCTAATTGTACTTTGTTCGAAATGTAGTAATTTAGTTCTTTGTTATGTTGCGGGATTCAAGATGGTTTCTGTGCAAAGATATAATTTTGATCTTGTTTTGACCAATGCTCTTTGATATTCTAAGTGCATATTTGGCTTTAACTTCTGTGAAATTGCCAGACTTAAGTTGTTGAACTTTGACGTGTAGTTTTCTCCCTGTGATGACATTTTTTGTTCAGATCATCAGATTTTAGTATTTATTCAGTATTTATGCAAAATATATTCTAATATCAATGCTGACACTAACTGTGTTCATGTGTCTATCTTTGTTGATATCATATACTGTTGACAATATCTGGGAGAGCAAGATCTTTACAGTATGCTACAGTGGCTACATGACATACACATATGCTTACAATTTTAAATGTCATGGCTGAAATTCAAAGTACCGTATTCGACGTAATAAGCGCCCACGGCGATATTTATTAATATATTGGCTTGTGAACGTTCCCATTTAGCACCCCTTCCGATTGATCAATGTACACAAGACTTATTTATTTGTGTATAATACGCACTTGTGTGTTATATGCACCCTTAATTATGGGCAATTAAATTCTGGAAAAATATATCTGTCGTATATAAACATTTCAGGCTGTCAGCATAAACCACGAAATTTATCTTTCAACTCTGTTTTTTCTCTCACCAAAATACCATTCTAATAAGAGCCCCCTATTTCTAATTTTGAGAGTGCCCTGGGCACTTATTACGTCGAATACGGTAATTAAACGAGGAGGGCATATTACATTCTAATTAAGGTACCTACAGACGTTTTGCAGCAATGGGAATGTGGTGGTGTTTGTTTTTTACCAAACGAAGAGTTTGGTTGTTAATTGAGCCCTTCAGTGCATAGAACTCTTGATAAGGTAGCTAGAGAACATCAGACAATATGTTTTTAAAAATTTTGATTTTCCAAACCAGAAATGATGTCAATAAATAGTGTTCATTATTGCCTTCATATTATCCCCAGGGATAGTCAGCTTATCTGTCCGTAACCGTTTTTGTCTGGATCATGTCTCCAAAACTAACAGGTATCCTTTCATGGAACCTTGCACACACAAAAACCAGGTTGTCAACCAGTGCCTTTTGATATTTAGGGATTTTTATAATTTTTATCGATTCAGTTTGTTTATTTAAAAACAACAGCGCTGTGGTAAATTATGAAGCATTTCAGTAAATGCATTAATTTTTTATGTCCTCATATCAGTTGCTGAAATGGGAATTTGTGCATGTCATCACACTGTAAATCCTATTCACTGTCAACTATATATTGGAGATTATGGAAAAATAAGACCTGTTCGACATGTCATGAACAAGACAGAAAAAACTCCAGGCAGCAGACTGGAAATGATTGCTGACTTGATGT